TCTTTGTAGTAATAATGAATTATTATTTTTGGCTATTCATTTTTTCTTTAAATTCTCACATCTAATTGAATTTATAATTAATTTATTTGATTCAATTTTCATCTTTGAATACTAAAATTTCAAGAATAATAACTTTTTTTATGAATGTAGTTTTTCAACGTGATAATTAAATTATCAAAGATCGAGGAAATATGTGATTCATCTCGATGACATAACATGTATATACATCATATCCACATTGAAATAATTTTTTTATCAAGTTATTGGACGTAATTATTTAAGTTAATTTTAAATCAGTTTTATTTATTGAAAAATTATGTTTTAAACAAATTATATTAAACTTAAATAAATTAAATAATTTTTTGATATCAAAATGAAAAATTTTGAAAAAAGAAAAATTTGAATTATTTTTAGTTTTTCTATTTTGGTAAAGGTCTGTGTAAGGTCCTGTACTGTTCGAGACCGTCCTAGCACCCTCTCTTACTGAAATTAACGTCCAGCGCTATGAAAATCCTCAGATCAAATAAAGAAATTCTCCAACATCGATGAGAGATGTGGTCCGTCGGGAGCTTCTGCTAGGGATCGTCTCTTACAAAGATTACCATATTAGATACTTGTATCAAATAAAACTTTAACACATGGGATGGTTTTGAGAGACTCTGGAAGAGACTCTCCTGTTCGGTTTGATACATATTTATTTAAAAAGATTTTTCAAACTTGATGAAATTAATGGATGAGCATTGTATCTGATATAAAATGAATACATCTTTGTAGATGCTATTTTAGATTAATAAATGTAAATTTCAAAAGAGTTAAAAGAGTATGTTATTATTGTTATCCTTGTGAATCTATGTAACATACTCTTTATAATTTTATTTCTATTTTGATCATCAATTTAACTATGATAAATCATTTACATTGTTAATTTTGTTTTGAAAAAATCAAAGAAAGTTTTTCAAAACAAAATAATGAAATGAGTAACTCCATCGATGATTATGACTTTGAAAAGTAAATCCCAATTTGAATTTTAATATTCCAGTTGAATTATTTTCACAATATCTTAACGTATTTTTGAAATTATCCTTCAAATTGATTACTTTGTTTGAATTTTCATCTTTTATAAAATTGAAACAAAATAATATAAGAAAATTTTCTTTAATATATATTTTTTAGATATAAAAAATTCATGTGGAATAATTAGTAGTAATTAAAACTTTTTTCTTTAATATTCTTATTTTTAAGAAATTCACTCTTTTAATGCACTAATGATTTATTAATTTTTTGGCAATAATTTTTTTCAAAAATATTGACCAAAATCCTTATAATTCACATGGTTGTGTGTTAATTTTGCTCAAAAGCTTTAAATCTTAAGGCTTCCATTTGGCGTTTGCATCACACAACTTCATTCCAACAAATCCGGGTGGATTTATTGTTGCACACTTACCTGCAATATGGATGAAATGATCCCGTAGTGAGATATTGAACTTGGATGGAACAATAACAGTGCAGAAGCAAAGTGCTTTATATATTGAATCGATTAGTTTGTTGCGGAGCTTTATAAAAAATGTCCAATTACTTAAATCATGTTAATGTTTGCTAATATCATGTATGACGCAGTGAGTTCCCGCTCCACAAGCACTAGCAAAGCAAATGTCAACACCATGCCCGAGTCCAAAGTTCAGGAGCATTTTTCTTAACATTGCTGTTATCGAGCGGTTCGAAACTAAGTCGTTACTACCAGAAGTATTGCAAAATTAGTGGAAGCATATTGAATGGTCTGAAGAATCTACTTTTCGTGTTTTGTCATGGACTTTTTTGAATATTTTTACTAGAAACAATGTCCATCAAACCTAGACGTGAGAATAAAAGAGTTGATGCCAACGTTAATGTAAACTATACAAGTACAAGGACAGATTTGAGATATATATTGACAACACATCCTTTGTTGATCGAGATGGATCGAAACCAAATGAGGAGGGTTGAAGATGTCTTATATAATACGACAAAGAATTTGAACACTCTAAAACTCAAAAGTTTTCTTATTTTAACAAGACATCACATTTATAGATCATCAAAGTTCATGTAAAAACAACTATTAAGGATCAAGTAATGGTCATGTTCATATAGAATAGTTTGTTGTTCAACACTCAATAAAATAAGGAAAAACATCTTGGATTCCTTCAGGTGTATATGAAAAGAAATGAAAGCCAACTTACTAATATGATATACATCAGAAGATCAAAATTAAACTTCGGATAGTTAAAAGAGACAATAAGAAAATGAATGTGTAACCGCCATTGTCAATGGAATTACTTATCAAAAAGGTTTGTCCTTACCAAGAAAGAAGAAACCCACAATTGATTTCAAATGGAACTTTTTACCAACAAGGTTTGTCCTTACAATGAAAGATGAAACCCACATTTGTTTTCAACTATGATGTTGTTAGACTTCATTGATCGAAATAGAGTTGTATTGAACACCATTGAAGTTAATTTGGTTTTGAAGATACTAGAGATAGATAATTGCATCATGTAAGCTTTAATTTGTTACCTGCAAACCTTACCTGCAAAACCTCTTTCATTTTATTATGATTGCCTCTTTTACATATTTGTTAATATTAATTTTTTGCAAGATCGCATTAAACATTCACAACGACAGAAAGAGCACATTAAGCCTATATATTATTCATCGGTAAATTAAGTCTTGATTTACATTGTTTTTACATTTAGTCATTTTTTTTTTATCAAATTGATTAGCTTAATCACTTTTCATTATATATTAAATGTTTTTTTCCTAATAATTTAATCTTAAGACTTCTGTCTTTCGTATAACGTTTCATAAAAAATATTTTTTAAAAAAACAAATAATTAATAAATAATAACTATCAACTTGATAAATATAATAAGTTTCTATTATGTTCAAATCAATGCATACAATTTATAATTAAGAAAAAAGTTTCGTCTCAAAATTAATCTTACATGTAATCTTGAATTTAGAAAAAAAATGTATTAATCAATTCATACTAAAGATTAAAAAGTTCAAATCCATATGGATTTGATGATTAAGTCATATTCATTGATATGTTTTTATAAAGCTGAAAAATTCTTCTGCAATAGTTTTAAAAATCAGATTTTTTGATTTGATTTTCAAATTAAATGGAATTCTTTTTGTAAAATATAATTTTGTGTTGAATTATAGAATATCTCATGAATATTAATCTAGAAATTTTGAAAAATTATCAAATAAAATAATATATTTATTTAAAAAAATTTAAAATGGATTAAAATTTTGAAAGTCACATGAATAAAATTAAAAGACATAAATAAATTATACATCAAATGATAATTGTATAATGTCTTCATCAAGAATTGTAATTAGATTTTTTGTTTTTCAAATCCAATATTGTTAATTATATTTTGTCTTGACATTTATTTTTACATTTACCAAGTAGTCAATTTTTAAATTTTTTTTGACAATTAAAAACATTGTTTGTTATCATAAAACATATCAAATCTTTATTCTTCAAGTATCAAAATTTATTTAAAGCCTTGATAGATTTAAAATTTTTGAAAATTTACAATCTTTCTAATATTTTTTAGGCAAAATATTGATTCAAATCAATATTTCATATGAGCAATCTATAGGTTGTAAGAGATAATCTTATGTTTAAGTTTTCTAGATTTATGTCTGTTTTATTCCACATGAATCACTTATGGTTGAAATTCGGTTCTTATGATAAAAGATTTATATTAATGTCTTCGTTTTTTCCAGTTATATAATTTAAACTGAAATTTGATATCCATGAATACTTATTATTTATCAATATATATGTCATTATATTTATATATGCATATTAGTTTCTCTTCCTAGCTATATATTTAAAATTATATTGATTTTGCTGATGTTATAATTTCAACAATAAACTTAAAGCCTCAATTCATTACAAGTTACACTAGGTGATTATTTTAAATAAGAGTTTAAAAAATGGAAATATCATATGTTTGATACATAAATTTGAAGCATATATGTATCTGTAATCCAAATTTATTTTTTTTTATGCAAAAATGAACTATACTAATCTACATCTATTGATAAATGAATGTCATGAATTATACGTAGATGATCATTACCTATAATCTGATTGTTTTTATAAATTTTTTCGGTATAATTAATATTAAAAAAAATTTAATATATTGACAACATAATGAAAATGATCCTGAGTGCAGAAAATGCTTAAGTGTACCCTCTAATAAGACGCAAACACATTAGATATCATTTAAACCAGATGTGCGATATTTAGAGAATATATATATATTAAGATAAGTTATATTTATTTGAGTTAGCCATAGTTAAAAAATAATTCGTTACATGAGAAGATTGAAATTAAAGATAATATTTTCGATAAATTATGAAAAAAATACATTCAAATTTAAGTATTTAGAAATTTCTTGTAAATATGAAGCAAAAAAATTAACGTATAAATTTGAACTGAATGTTGTTTATTGAAGAGTTTTTAGTCTTCCTATAAAAGATTATGACTTTTCTTGTTCATGTATATTTTTATTTTTTCACATCGAATTTAGTATATCATTTTGCGTTTAAAAAACCTGTTTCATTCTAGATACATAGTTTAAAATCTCAAATTTTACTCAATATTAATTTTGAAATGATTATTTGTAAAATTTTAATTTTTTCATGATATTATTTCATAGTTCAGGCTAATTATTCCTCATTCTAAAGAAGAAACTATCTATCATTGGTCATAGTGAATGTATTAAATAGAGTAGTGCTAGTGCTTCGATACAAGGAGACTCTGAGGCTGCTGATGGCCGAAATATATTGGGGGTTGTGGATATGGATCTATTTTAAATCAAATGTAGATGATCAATGTAGAACGTTCAAAAACGTTTGTGAACGTTTTCATCGTTCTTTTTGTTCTTAATACATTCTTTGAGTCCGTGGAGGGCAACGATTGAGTATTGACGAGTCAATTCGTTTGAATGTCAAACGCATGTCGGAAGAAGGAATCCCATTGGAATCATTTTGGTGATGTTTTCAAAGCCTTAAATTTCAAAACCAAGAGATTGAAGTGCATTCATTACAATCAAATCGTTTTTGTCAGCAGTCATAACTTAAGTACTCATGTATCTAATTGCACTGCGCCTTCTCTGATTCGTTTTGGCCATTTGGAATCCATTCTTGCCATCTCTTCAGTCTTCATGAAGTCGGACTTCCTCTCAGCAATGGCCCCAACAATATAGCCCGTGTCTCATTATCGACTGAGGAGCGCTTCTTGAATGATTTGGGAATGAAGGTCCAACTTGCATTTACTGCAACGGAGAAGAAAGGAATTAATTGAGCTTTGGCTGACGCGATGAACAAGAGGGCGACTCATTTTCACATGTTCAATCCACATATATGGCAAGAGTTTTTCAAATTCTTAAACACATCGTTAAAGACTTCTTCCACTACACATTTGCTATTGGAGAAATACACCAATGAGCAAATTGTGATGGGGAGACAACTTACACAAGCTGCTCGCGTCATCATGGAATGGATGATGCCACCAACATGTTGTTTGGTAGCATGTCTAACATCATTGCAAATGATCCTCGTCCATGGTTCGTTGAGTACCTAAAAGATGATTAGAAGAAGGAGTTAGCGGAAGAATTGCAAGTCAAGGTTGTCGCCTTCATACAACATCTACACCCATTAATCGAGAAGAAAATCGTTACAACATTCATATCGGACTCTTGCAATGTGATGCGTCTACTTTGCAAACTGCTTCTATCTCATGATCATGTGGATTACATGTATGGATGTGGAGCGCATCCACAGAACAATTTCTGCGACTATCTTATAAAAATGACCTTCTTCTAGAAAGTATTCAAGGAGTTCCTTGTCATATTCAAGTCTATTAAGAATCAAGGCTTTCTCAACAAGTGCTTTAGCATACTATGCACCGAGATCGTTGGTAAATCGTATAGTATGCTCCTTTAATCGGCATCACGATGTATTTAAACTATATAACCTGCCATCTCATGATGGTTAAGCGTCTGATTATCAAATTGACGTTGATCATCAAAAGCGATAAAGAGTAGTGTGGCATTGATTAGACATATCAACTTTTGTGTGAATTCAAGCGGATCATTACCGACTCACAATTCTGCCGCAGCGTCAACTCTGCAATCGATCTCTTCCATCCGATCTGCATATGTATCGGTATGACAATGGCAACGGTCTACGCCTGTTTCATCTTCATTAAAATCTACGTGCATATTCACTCCAATCTGCATGATGACCAGTGCAACAAGATGTTTGAACAATTGATCTATTGCTAGAACAACATTTATTTTCTGGTCCGTGCTCTCTCCTTCGTTTGTGGTCCATTTTTTCATGATATGCGTCACAGTGTGACAAAAGATTTTGGTATTGAAGTTGTTGAGCTTGACAATGGATCCATCAGCACGCAATGTCGAGAGGCAGTCAAGCAACTGGCGTGAAGATATGCAGATTCAACCATTGGTTCTACTAATGACTACGATGACTACATGCTAATCTGTGTGAGGGACGATCAGTTTATGAGCGATGCGCGAGCTTTATGTGATTATAGCATCGTAGTATTTGGAGTCAATTGAAGAATCGATATTCAAAGCTTGCACTCATCATGATCAAAATATACTATGCACCCGGTTCGACAGTTGGCGTTGAGCGCGAGCACAAGGTTGATAAGCGAGTGCATACATCGCGCCACAATCGTTCTAGAGCCAGCAAAGTTGAGCGGCAGGTTGTAGTGGTGCACAATGCTTTGATCTCTAAAATAAAATTTCCTGCCAAGTGCCAAGGCTTTGAGAGATTCATATCAACTCTTGGTAGGTAGGTCGAAGAAGGCAAAAAAGTTCAAGCATGACTACAAGACGAACCAAAGAAGGCAACGGAACGACTTCAATGCGTCAAAGATGGCGAGAGCAACAAAAATGACGATGTGGATTTCATTCTACTTTTGCTGAATGAATTGAACAAGACGACTTGGAGAGTGTTATTCTAATCGGTGGATTGGCCCAATACATCCTTGATGACATTCTGTTCTGTAAGACCGGACATTGTATGTGTAAATTAAAACTAGAAGTAGTCAAGGAACTAATCATGGTTAGGATAGTTATGACTAAGTCTAACTAGTTATAACTAAGTTCATCAAGTTATGACTATTTTAAGCTATAATGTCAATACTTGGCGGAATAACTAAGAAGTTCTAGAAAAATTTGAGTGAGCACTTCTATTTGGTCTTGTACAAAAATCTAGATTCCAAGATAAATACTTTTGACCTCATGTTTAATTTTGATTGGTTTGAATAAGTAAGGAATACATAAACTTCCCTCTTAAGTACGCATCCGTTTATGTATGCATCCCGGATAACTACGCAAGTTTTTTCCAAAAACACACAGATCAAGTTTAGGGTTAACAATGTAAATTCTAAATATATGCGTAAACTTTTCACGGATCTTTCATGTGAGCACTCTAAGAAACAATATCATTAAGCTGCGTTCATTAGATACAAAAGCCCAGGTCCATGGGCGATTTCCGAGAAGTAGTGGATTGAAGGCATTGAAAAATGTCAATCCTCATACGAGCGCGGTGAGCTACTTCAACGGATCACTCCAACTACAATTCGCGAACCTATACTTTGTGTATGTATATATTTTTTACCACAAAAAAATTTCATAGCTAATTTAACATTTTTATTTAAATTTCAGGTAGTATTTGGAGCTATTATTATTCAACACAGTTAGGCGATATTTAGTTCAACATGTCATGAATTCTATATGAGGTTTCAACTAAAACAACTCTACACACAATAATAGAAAATTAAAACTTGAATTTTCTGCTCTACTCTTTACTTGGAGGTGGTATAGTCTCGTGATGCAAAGGGGAACCCATTAGACTCTAGAAATATATTTGCTTCACTGACTTTTCTTATAAGATAACAAAACTTTAAAGTTGAGCTCTTTCAGCGATAGGAAAATACAATGTCTGTAGAAGCAAAATTTATTAGAAAGTTCTAGTCTTGGACTCGCAAGTTAAAACTAAATCTGCATTCTCCCATATCCGACTTCAGATTTCAAAGTGACAGTTGGACCTTGCTTTGAAAGTACCTATTTGCTAACTACGCACCTCCCAGTTAAGTACGCAAAATCATCTTGATCAATTTGCGTACTGAACTGAGAGATTACTGTACTCCATTGGTTAGACTAAGTCTAATGTTCACTTAGTGGCAAATGGAGGTTCTAGAAGTTGGAAAGACACAAATGATATGTCGCCACCTCAATCTAGGAATCGGTAAACATTAGAAGCTTTAGGTTTAGGAGGTTATTAATATGTGGCAACATGTCACGTATTGAAAACTAGTCAAACTTACTTGATTTTTCTTTGTAAAAGTAAGTTAGATAAGAATTACCATTTGTTACTATGGTAAATTCTAAAGTAGTATATATAGAGAGGTAGAGAATAGACTCTCAAGCAAGTTTGAAGAGGTCATATGTAGAGACTTGTTTTATATATGAAAGAGTGACAATTTTCAGTACCTTAAAGTATCGATGTGTGTGTGAGTTGGAGTGATACCTTGAGGCATTGTGTGAGAGTATGTTTGGGCTATGAGTATCAGGTGAAATTTTAGTCTTCTAGAACCATGATGAACTACCGCAAAGTCATGTGAGATAAACTTGAGTGAGAGTAGCAGTTCTTCGAAACTCAACCTTGTAACATTGAAGGATTGTTACTTGAGTACTTAGTACCAACTTTTTTTGAAAATCTAGATTTTTTTTATAAAAAAAAGTGGCTTGAATCCTAACGTATTTTAAACGTTTTAAAACATTCAAATTTTTATTGAATAGAAAAACAAATGTATTTAAGCTGTAAGTCAAATCTTCTTTTTCCTCAAATGTAAACCTCAAGGGCTCTCGTCCTCTATGCTCTTCTATGGCGCCACAGAATTCCTTCCCCCTGCCATTGGGTATTGCACACAGCAGCTTCCTCCAAGGTCAATCATTCACTTCAACGTTGCAAGTGCTCAAGTTCATGCCGGAAGTGAAATTGCGCATAGATTGGTCTTGCATCTTTTGCTCCAAAATTTGGACCATGGATTTTGAGTTTGCGCAGCATACTCTTCTTCCTCTTTGCAGTAGCTAGCACTGAAAAAACTCGATTTGTCTCTACCCTCGCCTTACTCCGATTCCATGCACAATGAGATGAAAAGTTTGCAGATTTATAGAAGAAAGGCAAAACCACCATAGATATATAGCAAACAGGTGAACAGCCCTTGGTCGCGAGCTCTCTTTTGTAAAATATAGTAAGGTGAGGATAATTAACCTAAACTGAGGGATAACTAGCCGCTTACTTAAACAACATTATTAGAAAATATTCAATTAAGACTGAATATCATTCTGAAGACTTATCTATAGGACATGGATGGATAAATATGTTGAATAATTTTTATTATACATTTTTTTCATGGTAGTAAATATGCAAGAAATTTCATGTATAATATTCGATATGATAGTTATCAAAGTTTTCTTTTTTTGATTAAGTTTGACTAGTTTTTTATAGTTTATTTTGAATTATCAAGATATAGAGCATATTTTTAGTTTTCTTCTAGCAAATTGACCAATTATCCTACGTTACAGTAATATATAACATGTATAATTGTGAAATCTTTGCTTGATCATTCATTATGTCTTTATCAACTTGCTTGATCTATCTTTTTCATAGCAAGGATATTTTTTTTGGCTTGATTTATCTATTTATTCTATATATATTACTGTTTTGAATGCAATAAAAGTCTATCTCTCGAGAATCTTAATCACATATGCATATATAAAGACGTGGTGTTGACATTGACATTTCACATGTAATGGATAAGCTTAGTATTGCCTTCCATTCAGCTCCATTAGACTCCAACTTACTTATAGTGTACTTGTTTGTTACATTGATTAATTGAATGAGATTAAAATCCATCCTCATGGATAGATCACAAGTGAAGTGGCCATTATTTGATAGTAAGTCTTAGATAACATGGCTTGAGCCAAATTTAATGATGATGAGAGGATATATAATCCATACAAAGGTAGGCAATTTTCCAGAATAACATACATGATTGGATGTGATTTTTCAACCATGCTAAGACAATCTTAATAGATTTCAAGGTCAAGAAGGAACATGACTGAGTTCCAAGTGTTAGTCCAGGCGCAGGCTCATCTTAAAGAAGAGGTGTCCATTTGCTCTTCGTTGTAAAAGACTTTGACTGTTAAGCCAATTTGACGCAATCACATCAGTTTCCTACAGGAGCTGGGTTTGTTGAGTTGTAAGGCAGTTAGTGGCCATGCAACAAAATTCTTCCGTTATCAGCTGAATTTTTCTTGATTGTTCTTTCAAGGCTCAAAAGGGTCATTCGGACAAAGAGAGGAATTTTCTCATACAGAGTTAAACCTCCCAATAGTGTCACCTCGTGTGAGTGACATCCTCTCATTAGTGACATGAAAATGAAGAACCATTAGTTTCTAATGGAAAATTTTATGCAATAATAGCAATACGTCACTATTGTTAATAGTGTCATTAGAATTTTCAATAATGAATGTGTTGAGCTTTAATTGCTATCATAATTGTCAAAAGTCTTTGTTTAGAGTTAAAAGTCTTCTATAAAAGATTGATTGATCTATCCTTACATTTAAGATTCCAACTCTCGACTGAAATGAAAGCTTCTCTCAGTGCTCCATCATGCTCGACGGTTCAGTGCACGATACAGATCTGTAGCAAGGTTTTGAACTGACAATCAAGTTCAGATATGTTCACGATCTATATGATATGTTCACGAGCACCTTCATAGTACATACTTTCTGTATGCATTGACTGTATCGTAGAACTACCCAAATTTCAAACATAGATAGATCTGCTTCTGGTGAAACGCGAGCAATTTAACATTCTTATCAAAAGGTGAACATACAGATATGTTTACTGACTGGGTCCTGAGCAAACGAAGCTGTGTCTTGTATAATTCTAGGGTGAACATATGTACAAAGTGCATCTTGTAGTAAGTTCGTTATTCTGCATGATGCATCTTTCGAGGCCATTCTATATCGGACTATTCTTTCCTGCAAACCTTTGAGGCATAATAACAGATATAACTCAAGTTTTTGAAGTTCAAAAAATTGAATGTGTATCCAATTTTGTTTCTCCGTCCACTACAGACTATGGGCAAGCATTTCTGAAAAATGTACTGATCAGCGTTGTTTCATCTTCTAGATGATATGGACAAATGAGATTGAGTATTTACAAAGTGAACTTTCTATATGACCCAAAAACGACTGCCCATCTAAAGCGGATTGTGAGCATCATCTGAACTACTTCAGTATCAAGAACGGAGACAAATCTCAGCAATAACAAGCTGAAAGGCCAATGTAAACACAAAAACACTTCACTGTTCACTTTTTGTAAACATAGAAAGTGAACATTCATCCACAAAATCTCAGGTACAGAACTGTACTAATCTCTGTACTAAACATCCATACTCACCATCACTGTGGTGTTAACATCTCGATATTCACGAATATGCAATACAGAAATTTTCATGGAGTTTCAAAAGACTAATTAGTTAGCAAGCAAGGTACACACATGAACACTGCTGAAAATTAGGTATATTGAATCATAGAAATACAATTTACAGTGTGATTGTCGACTGTCTCAAGCTTCTAAATTTTTCAATGTTCTGTTGATGTATCAAAGGACGACGAGCTCTTTGGAGATTGAAAAGCAGCGTACTCTGTAATTCTGTAGATAAAAATAATTCGATGGAAAAAAATTAATCAAATCAGTGATTGCTTGATTCGCTTGCTCTACTGTTACCAAAGGCAAATGTCACCAAAATCATACTCATTCGAAGCACTATCACTGTGCAAGAGATTATGTTGCTCTAAAACCGATTTGACGATGCTAATGTCGTCAATATTATCATCACCAGTATTATCAGCAGCATCAAGGTCAATAAGCTCTTCAGCAACTACTTCTATACTTGAGTCATCAAGACCCAAGGACGCTGAAAAAGAATCGTTGAGTCGAATTTCTTGAAGAGTTTTCATCAAATCATCCAGAGCCTAATTTGAGCTGCTACTGTATCTATCTATATCCTGATTCGAAATTACGTTAGATACAAGAGGTAGACAGTTGGCTTTAACAAAACACCTTCGAATAGTATTTTCCTCTATACTATCCGATGCAGATTTTACCCAACCAAGTACATTCCGTAGATGGGTATGATCGTTGATCGGAAACTGAGAATAAAAAGCACGTTCACTCGCCTGCCACATCTCATACTCAGACATTAAATGATTAAGTTGAGCACGACGAAAATGAGCTTTAAAAGATCGTATGACACCTTGATCCAGAGGTTGACATTCGCTAGTAGCATTTGTAGGAAAAAAAATGATACACAGATTTTCAAACCTGAAAAAAGATTATGTTGATCCCGATGGGTCTAAAATCTTAGACGCACAAACGAGAGACGAACAGTTGTCTTGAAGTACGTAGAAGATGCAGTGTATGTCCTTGGATCTTAGACGCACGAACGAGAGACGAACAGTTGTCTTGAAGTACGTAGAAGATGCAGTGTGTGTCCTTGGCAATTTTGTTGTACTTGTGAAGCAAACGCATGTAGGAAGATGTATTTTGCCAAGCTTTAGCTTGATGATCATAAATAATTCCGAACGCCTTACTTATGTCAGGAATATCTTTCAAAGCACCTGGACGAGCACTCTTCGTGATCACCTGCGTCATGAACTTTTCACCTGAAGCACTAACTTCAAGCGTCAGTGTAATTTGTTCTTTACTTCGCTTCACTCCACGACCATCTGAATTGACTGTGTAGTACGATCTTGATGACGTCGTGCGATGCTGTAAAGCTGACTCGTCAATGTTAATGATGCATTCGAGTGATACGTCGCATAACATTTCACGAATTTGTTGCAGACGTTTCTCCACTTCCATGACACTAACGTTGTTCTGTTCTCCGCACCTCCTCTTACTCGACGTTGAAATGCGCTTCAAATACTTCTCCAGCCATCCATTACGCGCAACAAATGATTGTAGAGAAATTGTATCTGAAGATGTCAAACATTCTGCAAAGTCGAGCAAAATTTTGTCTCGAAAAAACAGAGCCTTCTTCTTCAGCATCTCACCCATCACATTCAGCGTGGGCACATCGATCTCAACACGAACATGCCATTGTTGCACCATTTCTGTAAGAAGTTGAACTCGTGTCGATGTAGATATCTTTTTAAACCGATCTAGATTTGATTCTAACGACACCTGTTTGATAATTTCTCTCTCTTTCCAGATTTTCGAAACAGTTATACGTGCCACCGAAGATGCCGATGCCGCTTTATCATGGGTGGCTCCGGGCTGATTCAGAAAATCGAAAACTTCGAGCTTTGTCTTCACGTCCAAACGCTTGCGTTTAGACATGAGTGAGTAATAACGGATGCAGATTAAGAGAAAAAAAAACTCCCACCAAACAGGAACAGATTGCGTCGCGAGAGAAAAAATTGGCCACCTAATGCATAACAACAGTGACAGATCGCAGCGAGAGAGAAAGAAGCCCTCACTGAACGCACTGTGACAGATCGCAGCGAGAGAGAAAGAGGAGCCCAGCAAACGCAAATAACGCGGGAAAAAATATGACATCCTCTTGTGAGTGACACCTCCGAATAGTGACATAAAACCCTAGAACGGTTATGTGTCACTATCGGGAGGTTTAACTCTGTAAATGCAAGCCTTTAATAGTCGAGATGCTTCTCTCTGCCTCGGAGCCCGGTCATTGTGCTGGGACCGAGTGATCAACTGCTCTGAAGTCATTACTGATTCCCTTATTGACGTGGTAATCCCTGTCTATTCTTTCTTTCTCTTTGTCTGAACTCGTCGACAATTATACATATGGTCAACTTTGGGATGTGCGTGCATTCATTAGCAACTGACAGGGCATATTTCTCTTTCTGCTGTTGCAATCCAAGCAAAGTATTCTTGAGTTTTTCGAGTTCTCTGCCTCCAGTTGCAGGGAGTGAAGTTGGAATCACTTCAAGCTGTCAGCATCGTCGGAGCTAAGCTAGAGATCATTCTTGCTGTTGAAAGGATATTTAAGTTACGTACATTCTGGTTGTCAAGATGTAGATGAAGACCAGATGCAAGGCTTCCAGAATCTGTGCTTCTCTAACACATGTCCATCTTCATTTGACTGAGTCTTGATCACTTGACTGGAGTTTCATTCACTCCAGTCCAAGGGACAATGTGTATTGAAGGATCGATACTAAACGAAACATTAATACAAAAAATAATAATTGCAAGAACCAGCTGGCTTTGTCCAGTAATTGTAATGCCGAGAAATCAAGATTCGTAATGTCTATAAGTAAACTACTGACAATTATATTCCTCTTTCCGTTCGTGCTGACACTCTGCCACCAAAGTAGTTAATCCTCACGTGTTGTATTTTTTTTCTCAGCGACAACATCCGTTCTGCGCAGGCCCTCTGCAGGAACGAGTATATTTTTTTCGAGATTTCTGACTCTTCAGCCTTTCATTTGATTCTTGAGAGTTTCTCTACTGCTTCTGATGTGCAAATCTAGTATTTGTTTCTACTGTCAATGGCTGAGAACTTCAGCTTGTCATAAGCCGTCTGCAGAAATTTCGACTGAGAATTCAGACTTCCCAGTTAGTTATTCATTTGATTATTGAGAAGTGATTCAACTGCTTGTGGTACATTGCATTGCTTGTGATACAACTGCTTCTAGCACATTCCAATTTCATGATTGACGGTTAAGAAGAACAAAGTATCCTCCACAAATCCGCAGATGGAGATACCAATTACCATGTTTTGAAGGAAAGCTGCATGTATTCGAAATAATCTGCACGATTCTATGTTCATCCCCTGTCAATGTTTCTAACCACCTGAACCCATCCTTCAACTTCTTCAAGGATGATTTTCAAGACCTTGATGTGCATATATTTTTGAAGACATACGGACTAAATCAATGAGCATCCTGCTCAAGCAGTTGAGAAACTTTCTTCAAATTGTCCTTTGAGCTCTAAATAATAGCGTGCAGACAGAGCGCTATGGATCAGAACTGTATGGACGAGACCGGTAACGATCTGACTGATCTCCGTATATCATATGACCTGCTAAAGCTTAATATGGAAGTCGATGACGACGACCAAACTAAACATGATTCACAACTTCTGATGTGTGATCGTGAATAGTCAATCAGGGCGCTCAGAACAGCCTTCTGCGTATGAAACTCCGATTGAAAGTATATATGTCATCGAAAAAAAACGGATTGAAGGAGAAAAATATATGTTCTTAATCCTGTCACATCAATACATTTGACGGGAAACTTGTGGCGATACACTTTCTAGTCTTCACATATCCTACAATCTACTCTGAGGGCAGTTGCTTCTGGACTCTTAACAGATTAGATTAAGAGCTTCCTGCAAGGCCAACAACTGTGTAACATTTGACTAGCTGATAATTTCAAAGAAAACCTTGGAGTATAAGCAAGACCACAGCTCCCTTTAACTCCCAAAAAGAGAAACTTGAGCTGAGAACCGAGTGGTTACCGTTACTAGACAGACACCTGCCGAAAAGAAGAAGTGGATGAAATTGCGGTTTTGCTCGCTGCATGCCCCGCCTAGATAGATCAGAATAATAAGATTTCAGATTCTCGGGACCTGGTACTGAAATGTGTCAACTCAGCAGCCACCATGAGCGAGCAGATAAGAAGTAAGCTACCTATAGTGTGTCTTGTAGCAACCTCGGAATGAGAAAACTGGTATTCTCCGGATGTGCACGAGGCACGGAGTCACACAATATAAATATTAATAGAAAGGTGGGCCATTGCGCATTGTCACAGACGGTGGCAAGGTGGCGCTGGGAGAGTCTGGGATAAGCAAAACCTCGACACAAAAGTTCGTCTCTTTTGGGCAGCCCTCATGTTTTAACGAAAGCAGAGATTAGAATACAACGTGCGATGTTCTCACACGTTGTGGCTTGTGGCTTATCGAGACAGTCAAAAAATATTTGTTTACGTTTTGGGACACCGATGACAAAGTCCACGAAACTCCTCTCTCTCTAGGTCTGCCTTGACTCGGAGGCTTTGACGACATCCAGTCGTGTGGATATTTAGCCGTAGTCAGCCTCTAGAAGTAGATATGCCATATGCGTCCTGACTTCGCTCGAGACTAGTACAGTTCCGTAGACACGTAGAAAAGATCTTGCAGAACTGCAAACCTTTCGAGGAGAAGCCGGGTCCCGAACTTCATATTATGGACAAGTAGCCTCCGGTGCCAGCGATTCAAGTGTGTGTATCGGTTCTTTGTTTTACCAAAGATTTGCATTTCAAGGGCAGCAGTTCGGGTGTACCTAGTTATGATGGTGACGTTACAGAGAACAGTGTTTCTAGTAGTGCTCATCATTTATCTCTGTGCATCTCAGTCGTCATGCCGTTCTCTAAATATCAAGACATCACTGCAAGTCGGTACGTTCCTGATCCCTCAGAATTCTCTTGTATATTGAGTGTTGAGGCTTTGATATGACAGGTCAGTGATGAATCTGATTTGTTTTGATTTCTATCTTCTCTGCATCCTGCATCTTGCGCAGAAATCGGAGTACATGATGAACAGGTCGAGATTTCATTCGAGAAAGGAGTTAGAAATGACTTCGATATTGATGGTGCATGTGAAGACTTCTTCGTAGAAGATCCAACTGTAGGTGTCAATTATTTGCAACAGCAGTAACTGTTACTACACATTAGATGGCTTCGTTTTTTTTTTTGGAGTTTGGAGTATCCGTTCACGTAAGCCTAGTAAAGTCCTTGACAACAGATATTGCTGCCGTTGCTATCAATTGTTTTCTGCGTAGTATTTTCTCTAGAGGGCTTGTTGAATCGAGGAGGACAAGGCAGCGAGGAAAATAGCATTGAAGTTAAAGTTTTTGTTTTGCAGGATTGTCCCAAGATGAGATCTCGGATTGAATCTAAGATGAATTGAAGGATTCCTCAAAGAAGGATGCAAGAGAAGAAGTTAAAGAGCTCTCTGCTCATGGTCACTCTTTCGACTTTCCACAAGTGAATTAGAAGTTGTGCGGAACATGTTTTTGTATCGGGGGTTTTGAACCACCCTGCGGGTAGGGAATTAGAAATTATGGACAGCCCTGTTTAAGTTTCGAGCTCGCGTCCTCGCTTTCAATCAATAGTTGATAGAAATTCGTAGCATTGTACAGCAGACTTGTATTATTGTAGCGACTGGAAAATTTTCTAAATTTCTTTTAGGAATTATCCTCCTTGTTGTAAAAATCAAAGGCTTCAAATAAGCTAGCATTATGACAAAGGCACTCAAAATTTCAGTATAATGGTCAGAAATCAACCCCGTTGTATGAGCTTCCATCGACATCAAACCTCCTCTAGATACAATTATGGATTCACTTTGTCAGTGTCTTTGTTGATGTCAGTCTGTGAAGTACTTTCGACAGCTTGTAACAAATAAAAAACATGATGTTTACTACAATCGTACAAGGAGCGCATGCCCTCTTTAGACTCAAAACAGGTCTGTCTGTGAAACAGCTCCGTGTTGAACGCTGAGATTGCTAGTAAACAGTCCACGAACAGTATCAAAACCGACAAGTTTATCTTCTTGGCTTATCAAGCATGCGCTATGCCCTATTATGGCAAATTTAATCATACATGGCTTATTACTCATTATTAGCATTCAGTTAGTACAGCCAAGTTACCCATGCCTATACTATTTTTTTGTTATGATTGAATATCCTTAAAGTGTGTCAACTTTTAAAAGAATTTCCTATCACTATATTATCTTATGACAATCAATAAATCGCGATTAGGTGATAAACAAACCTCACAATAAAAGTGCCTATATAGCATAAGTATTTTAATTTAATACTCAGAAGGTATGTTATCTAACCTTTTATGTTGAAGGATTGAAAGGAATAGAGAAAATTATATAACATCCCTTACTTCATTAAAAAAATGTATAAAACATATCAATTTGAGATACGCACATAACATATCAGATGTAATAATTATTGATGATTTGGTATCAAATTCCATGTCTTTAGTTAATCAATAAGAGTAGATTAATAAACACTGATTTTTTTAATTTACTATCCGTGTATCATTCTTAATTTATATACGCACAAGTCATGAATGCAATACATATATGCTCCACTTTTCTGTTACACCAGCAATAAATCTTTTTATTTTGTCCTTGGAGGTTATGAATGTGAATTTATGATGATTATTGGCTCTTGACTCTCAATTAATCAATTTCCAATAACCTAAAATTTTGTGTGTTAAAGTTTTTCAATTAAATTTTTACACATTTTTTACACAATATAAAAATAAAATCTTTTTGAAATTATTTTTATGTCTATTACAGTCAGAATTTTTCTTAAATTAATAAAATTGAAAAATAATGTATCATTTTATTATAAAAATTTCTTTCCTTTTTCAAATACTTGGCTTAAAAAAAAAATTTGATAAAAATTCATTTATTTATTTTTCATGTTAAAGCCATTGTTGCACATATTTGTTAAATACTAAAAAATTGGAAATTTAATAAATTTTCATGAAAATTAACTCTTATGTTTTTTTTAAATAAAATAACTTTCATACAGTTGAAATTTAAAATGATCAATCATTATAATGTTAATATCTTTCCTATTAATAATTAATTTTTTCTACATAAAACACGTGCTAGAGATTCAAATATTGATAAAAAGCTGTAAGTGTAATTTTTAACATGTTTTAATGTGCTATGTATTATTTTCAAATCAATATATTAAATTGTAAAATCAAATTTTGTATCTTTCAAAATTCATGATATTTCATTTCATTTCTTACTTGAATAAATCACACATGCAGCTAAGCGGCGCTAAAATATAGTTCTTAATTTTCTTGGAAAGATTTTAACATTTTTTATGCCACACTTGAAAATCATTACACATAATGCATACTTTTTGTATTGTCAACTCCTGCTTTTCAATGATATTATTGAAATAGAAAATTCTAGCGAATTCTATGATGTTAAAAGTTAGTATCTAAATACATGAGATACACAAATAAATACTTATGCGGAGATTCAAGTTTATGACTCTTTTATTCACTTTGAACACATAAATAATCTTATGATCCATGATTTCACTATATAGATTTCATTTTGTTGTCTATTTCAGACTTTTCGTCTAAGATATTGGCTTCATGTTATCTGTGTGGATCCAAAGACTGTGAACTAGCTTATTACTTCTTGAGTACATGTACATTGAATTTTTTTGCCAAGTTTGTCAATCAGCTAAAAAGATGTTTAATGGTGTAATCTGATGTTACAAATTCTACTGCCGTCATGATGTCAAGTCAGCAAGTACTTCAATATCTAAAAAAAATTAAAAATTATCACAGAAGATCACATGTTTTGATAACACAAAATTCGATTTCTTTTTATGTTTTATAAAATGTCATGAATTGTGTCAATTTACAATATCTTCATGACCAATAATTTGACTTTGACTTCATTTCAAAGTATATTTTGTCAAATTTTATTATAAGAAAAGCACATTCATGACTTTATTGATGTAATTTAAGAAATTATATATAAAAAAATGATCTTAATCTACAAATATCTAACATCGAAGGGATCAAGTTCATATGACCTCTTTTTCATCCTTGTGAAAGATGATTTTGGTGAAATATATATATATATATATATATATGTATGTGTGTGTGTGTGTGTGTGTGTGTTTTTAGATTCCGATAAAAAAAATTTTCTTCCCTGGTTTTTATTGATCAAATTTTTTTCGAATTTTATTTTCATGTATTGAACTTGAAAATATTGAAAAATCTATGATAAATTCATTATAAAAGACTTTTTAGGTTTGAAGTTTAATGGTTATACCTATGTATGATTATGAATATTGAATGAAAATTTGAATTTGAGCAAAAAATATGATAAATCTATTATGAAAAAGACTTTTTAGGTTTGAAATTTAATGGTTATACCTATGTTTGATTATGAATATTGAATGAAAATTTGAATTTGAGCAGAAAATATATTAATTAACATGAATATTCAATTTATGGATTAAAATCTACACATAAAATATATATCTTTAATTATCTTATCTTTGATTATATTTAGTTTTTTTCATTGAAACAACTTTGATATATCCACAGAAGAAAAATTTCCAATTTTAATTAACTTCTCAATTGACATTAATTTTTATGAATTGAAATATAATATTTTTAAGTCAATCCTGGTTGATAATCGTTTATCAAATTTGATTTCAGTTTGATTTCAACCTGCTACTTATTGAACATGTTTTCAATGCACTAATCTATAATATGAAGAATGAAACTTTGATGTATATTTTATAAATATATGAGGAAATGTACATGAAATTTTTCTCACCTTGCTAAATCTTACACGACCACATAACATCTTCAAATCTTTAGATAATTAGAAAACGCTTGGATTTAAAACCAGAACAACTTGATAGCGGTAATTACTAGAATAATTATTAGTCACATTATTTTAAAAAAATTCTGTGCACAAAAATTTTGGCCATAATCATATATTATTATTTTAAATTTAGTGTATCGATTGGAAACGTGTGAGGATGATATGAAATTCAGAATGAAAATCTTCATCTCTTATTCACATAATCTGCCTCTAAAAATTTGCAAGTTTTTTGCATCCAAAGAAATAATATTATTTATACTTATGCCAATATTTCCAGTTTTAGCATGCAGATGTTTGAATATGAAATGTTTTTAGGTCAAGAACTAAGCTCTGATGTTTTCAAAATTGGTTAACTTCATGATAAAGAGGTAGACAAGCAAATTTTTTATACTGCAGTTTTTTTAAAAAAAATTCTTAATAACTTCAATCAGTTTGTAAGTAATCCTTACGAGTAAAAAAAGATTAAAAAATATATTTAAGTACTAAAAAAATCATCAGAGAATTTGAAAATATCAATATATTTTTTTCTAAAGAAGCTGAATTTATTTTTTCCCAAAAGATTAGCATATGAACATAGATGATGACTTACGAGAAACTTTTATGTCGTCTCACGATATCCAAGAGTTTGTTCTTGGAAGGTTGAAGCTTTGATCATTGCATCTCCCGTAATCTCTTGGTTGTATGTGTCTTCTAATTTGGACTATGCTCAGAGTGAATTCTACAATGGATGTCCATCGTTGAAATAACAACAATATTGATCAACACTCGCATCAAATACACATTCAAGAAGTTCGTGTCCAATTGAAGGATGAATGGGAACGAGGTGAAAGTGAAACAAGCTTTAGAAGTGAAACAGGTGAACAGTTATCTATAATCCAAACGTTTCCACAAAACAAGTTCACATCGTGTACAACGAGAACTGAGGAAATTTCGATGGTAGAAACAAAGATAGCATCTGTTCACATTGTGATAGTGAGTGCATAGATAGCAAAAACGGTTCACTCTTTTTTTGATAGCAAAAACAATAAAATACTCAAACCAGAGTGAGATTCCATAAAATTCAAATCAACTCCAATATTGATCTGCACCGCTTTCTCAATGAAAAAATTCAAAACAGATAAGAACTTTTGATGTATTTAACAGAGCAACAGAAATCAAGTCTATCCACACTTCAAAAATACTGTGGTGTTACTGCAAACCAGAGCCCAACCCCATACCCATGGGATGGGATATGCCCATGCCCAAACCCACCCATGCCCATGGGTTTTGGTTGGGTTATGGGTGACATTATTTTTCCGCGGGTGGGCATGGGTGGAACAAGTAGTTGGTCAGATACTACCAAGAATTGGTGTAACCGGGTAATACACATAACACAATGGGCGTAATTTGAATAGCATGGGTGGGCACAGGTAATGCTATGGGTGGGCATATGTCGCTGTTGATGGTTATGGTCTGGGTAAAGATTTGAATTAAAATGTTGGCCTCTGCTGCAAACCCAAAGTCTGGTGAACTTTAGGTGATATCCTTCCATTCTCATCGTAAGATTAATCGCATTAGCCCCTGATTGCGTCCAAAGCACTCGTGACTTACTCTAAGGATTGGAAGACGAGCTCAATAAATGAACGAGTTCAATCAAACATCCTCTATCTGCCTCGAAGTGTCCTTCAGTGTTCTCTTGATCAGTCCAACGAAGAGTTCGATATTTTGTTTAAAGGAATCTCTTCCTGAACATATCAGAATCAACTGTTGATGATGACTCCTGTCTCATGTTATAGTTTGATAGATCTTCCAGTTGGTGAGGTCGAGTCGTTGGTAATGCTTTGAAATCGAGGAAACTACATTTATGAATGAAGACAGCAAACTTAGTCGAATGAGTGGAATTCTGCGAGACCTTCACTTTGAGGGCGTGCACAGATATTCTAACCAGGGAGTTTCATACACGAGCACATTTTTTACTCTCCTTTTAACGAGTCATCAGCAGCTAGTGGAGGCTTATGATCGAGACTCTCAGAATCTACTCTGTGCAGGGTCATGCTTTCAAGCGATCACAGAGTTCATGAGTTGTGGATGACATGTTCTTCTCCTTGTTGGAACTAATTAATCCTCAGAAGTAGAAGAATCTGTTTCTTGTTCTTTTTTAAAAAACTATGCGAGATGACAATATTCGTGTTTATCTTCATGAATCAGCTTAATGGGTCTTCTGAGGTAACCTTTCCCTTATTATTCTTCGGGAATGGAAAACGTGTGCACGATGAAAAGAAAATAATTTAACAATAAATAAGCAACGACTTGGGTAATCCACCCTTTTCTATCAAACGATCTGTCAAGATTCATAGCATTTGTAACAATACATTCAATTGGTTTTATTGCGGGTGTGACGTCGAGAGATACCGTGTGAGAGAATGATTGTCCTTCACGCGTCAGCCCTTCTCATAACTCACTCAAAAATAGGAAATAAATAATATTGCCTACTACAACTATATGTCAAGATCAGCAAATTCTCCTATGTGTTCTTACATGACCATGTGCAATATTTTTCCTCTGCCACTGGGCCCAGACTTAGTCAATGTACTCATCTTAAAAGCTCGGGCATCTACATCCTGCCACCTACATTTACCAGAAAAAGACGTAACGCTCTTCTTTTGATAGTAAAGTGTCCATGTCTTGTTGACATTGATCATCAAGAGTGTAGATTGACTTTTTATAGCTGGCGGGGTCAAACATACTGATGTATCGTCCTTGGCACTGTACAAAAGAGAAGACTTGAATCTTGCCAATTGGAAAAAATAAAAATTGCCAATTTGTGATACGCCATAAAAACCTCGGAACTCCGCTAAGTTTCGCATATTCACATGCAGCCGGTTATTTTCGTTCCATATTCTCAACGCATTTCTCAAGCAAGATCGAGCGAATCTATTGTTCTCACTTTCTCTTGTGCAGGTGCCTCACCCGGCAAAAGCGATTCGGTCAACATGCCGAGTGCTGATAAGGAAGAATGTGCATAAGATCTGAATTGTTTCTTGGATGAGGCTAAAAGCCCGCCGTCACACTGCGCAATTTTTTTCGCCGCCCGAGGCGTGGAGACAGATTACTTCCTCAACTGTATTCCGGATTGATTCTGCGTATAAACAGGACCAAGTCTAATTATTGAAGTTCAACGCTATTCCAAGTGGGATCATTGTGCTCACTGCAGGGATTGAAACTCATGCCTTCCGTGTGTTGCTTTGAAATTGGTTAAGCCAAACGGACATATCTCAGTTACACGTGAGTACAGTTGAAGAGTCAGATTTAGGCTCCCTCCATGTGTAGATGCAAAGCTGAAACTGGTCATGAGAAAGGTTCAAAAGAACCGTGCTAAGCTGCAAATCCTTGGAGACGAGATGAACTAGTAGAAAATAATGTTATCATATCAGAAGCTTGTCTCATCCTCGGAGTTGCATCGAAAAATCTCCTTCCGCACATTAATTTAGCGAGAGAGGCAGTGACATCTTCAATCATGAAAGGAAAGTAGACGGCGGAAAGGGTTGATGAGGACGAGGCTTCACTCTCATGATTTCAAAACAGAGCCATGATGGTCTTACTCTCGAACGGTTTCTAGAGTTCATGCTCACTCCCATGGCTTGACAGAGCAGCACCTACACACACTCGAATCGCCCCAACCTTTTGTTCTGATGCGTCAACTAAGATGCCAGTCATTCAAGGAAGAGCCAGAGCGCAGGATTTCCTCAGATTGGGCCGCAGGAGATGAAAGCTAACGAGGCGAGCTCCCGTCTCTCTCGAACTACGAAGTCCAAATTTGTACGGAACTTACTCTTTGCGTTAGAACCAGCGCAGCACAAGCTTCCGACCGAGCCAAAATGTTCACAGGCCTCTGCACTTTCAGTCTGGAGGTTCCTATGGTAAGTAATTACCGAAAGATGAAGAGAGAACTGGGGGCTTGCTCTCGTGAGGCCGAAGAACGAGAGAAGAAGGTGATCTTATTTGGTAGAACTGGAGCTGACAAAACGAACGTAGCCAATGCTCTCGTCACTGGAGGCCTGGGAACGGCGGTATTCGAACTTGAGAATCACGGGAAATCGATAGAAATCAAATTTAAGAGAGGAAGGGGCTGGTCTGTCACGGATACGGTGGGAGGTCTCTCACTCGCAGAAGCTGAAATGAAGTCTCGATCTGCAGCAGTAGACACAGTCACCAACCTGCTCAAGCGCCTGAGAGGGGAATACTCGCACATAATCTACTGCAAGTCCGCCATGGAGGTTTCCAGTGCCGTAGATCACCTCATTTGGCTGGCATATGAGCAAATCTTTGCAGGAGCTGAAGAGGCATACGTTGTACTTTACACGGGAGGGGATGAGGTTTGGCTAGACATGCACTGGAACATGCAGCCTGAATATTTGAAAGACCATAATGTATTAGTGTCAGACATATGTCCGATCAGTGTCCTACAGGTGAGGGAGAAGAGGCAGGCAGCTGTGAGAGAAAAGGAGGTCGAAAAGCTAGAGAAACGGTTGCAGGAGATTTTTGAAAGTAAGGATCAAGGCTATTTCAGGCCATCAATTACCGACATGGATGATGAGCAGTTGAGAGAGAAGTCTGAGGCTCTCCTAATCTTTCTGGCTGAGAAGATCCAAAGCATGTTGCATCCGAATTTGTGGATGAAAGTGGCTTCGAAATTGTCATCTTTCTTTCCCTTGGTGTGGTACTTCCGGGAGATTGGTTCTACGAAATCCGCTATTCCTTTGCAAAGGTAACTCAGCATAGTCACTAATTCCCTTTCATAACATCCATACTGCTCGATTGGAAACTACATATTTGTCTAAGCCTTTGAAGCATATACACATAGGGTAGACAGCCTGCTGTCTAACCTATGTTTCAAGATGAGTTCATCCAAATTTTTTCCATGCTCAAAGTGCACAGGATTCTTCTTGTGCAGTTTGAGCAGATTTTGAGTGCAAGCCAAGATTGGTATTGCTGTGAAATATACATTGTTTATCCCCTACATCAAGGGGATTCAATCAACAAAGTTTTGAGCTCAGTGTACATAACGACGGGACGGTGAGATTTGAAAATCTATGTAAGCTTGTCATGTAAAAGTTTGAGGATAGCCAACTGAATTAGGTTTCTGGAAGCCAACGATCATGGCAGAAGGACAATCTTGCGAAAATCAGGAATTCAACGATCCGAACCTTTAGTTTTACAGTCTCTACATGTCTCATATCTTTTATAACGGATCTGCATTTGCTTATCCATGGAGGAAGACTAGTCGAAAAGAAACGTTATTTTCATTTGATAAACACAACCGAATACTCTGTACTGCTCCGATTGCTGTCTCTTTCTTTCTCTCTGGGACTTATCAGATAGTGAGTTACTTCCATATTTATGGTGAATAATAGTACGTGGTTATTCTTGCGATTTCTACCTGTTTCTCTCCCCATGTATATAGATGTCATATGTCTTTGTACCTACGATATACTCAACAATTTCTGCCTTTCGTTGTTTGCTCCTTCCACCTTGGTAAGTAGATGTGAGATTCTAATGAAACTAGTGCTACTAATGCATTTTAGATTTGCATCTCTGTCTTGGATTTGTAGTTCTGTGTCTCTTCTAATATAAATCCGGAAATGTTCAGTGCTCTGGTGTAATTTTGTAACAGACATCTAGGATACTCTGTTCTTTATGTTAAATCTTATAATATACTCAATGACAAGGCAACTACAACAGAACAGAACCACTAACATAAAGAACAGAGCTAGTACGTATCAAATGCTAGCAAATTCTTTCAAGTTCCAGAGGAAAGTACTGTAACTGCATTTTGCAAGTCTTCATCCTTAAATCAGGCCATGGCTTGTACTTAGTCATTACCACTGGCGTTCAAGCTGATAGAATTTATGATCAGTGTAACCAGAACATGAAGGTTGTTCATCCCTCAATAATGTGACTACTGAAGAATTAAACTTGGAGAAAACTCTACCTAGTCCAGCAAATCTTCACATTTCAATTTAATGATCGTTTCCCGAGTTAGTGCCCACCAAATGGACTGATATAGATGCCTGAAGTGGACGCTTTCGATATAAGGATGGAATCACTTTCAATAGTATCAATGTAGTTGGACATGACTACCTGCATTAGTGATTTCATAAGAAACTGAACACACATTGTGAAACTATGTTACAGCAAAGTTACATGGATAAAGCAAATTGTTGCAGAATTGAGTTTTTCTTGACAACGAAAGGGATTTATGAAAATGTGACTCTATTGATCTTTCATACACTTTGGACAATCATAATCAGAAACGCTTGTGAATGTGCTGTTTCACAATCCAACATTCGATCAATTTAACAAACACATCCAACCAACACAATTGAGACAAGATTGGCATCATTACTCTCATTTTACTTAGGGTGGATCCTCTAGATCATAAGAGAAAAACTCTCATAAGTTTTACTGGTGCTTTCAATTTCATTCAAGTTTGTCGATGCACTTTGACATAACTTGGCGATGGTGACAGTTTCATCTAAGCAGAAAATTTTGATCCACACATAACTCCTCAAATATCCATTCTACCTTCGTTACATTTGAGATTCAATATTGGATGTGTTGTGTCTAATACTAATCCTATTTATACACAAAAATGTCTAATTATTAAGATTTACTACTATACATGGATGTCTCCCTCTGGCTTTCTAAGTAAAATCAACGCCTGCCGCTTGCGATTCTAACCGCCCCGCGAAAGCGTCAACACAGAATTGTAACTTCGGATGTACTATCCAATATTTTAATTGGGAATCTTCAGCACCTCTTTGACTTCTCAACCCATCGTCTTATGTATCTCTTTTCACACCTCCTTCAAATGAACAGAAGCGGTATTGATCTCGCTCAGTCGTTCCAGGCAATCCACTAAGTCTATATGGCCTCTCAACATACCCTAGTTCATGTATTGAAGTTGTTCTGCGAGTTCTAACCATTTTCATAAGCAGTCAGATAATTTAGTTAACTGCTCTGGTATATGAGTTTTTATTCTAATCACTTGAAGAATTAGCTTTGAAGGTTTTATTTATCCATTTATATAGGACATGCACAAAGATTTTCGTCACCACAGTGACTCTGCATTTCTTTTAATTCTTCTTTTGATATCTCTAGTTAAAATTTTCCACAAAATAAATTTCATTCAATCAATCAATTAACTATAGTTTTCTTCTGATTTGATTGATCTACCAACGAGGAAAATCCATAATTTACTCCATCTAATCAATAATGTAGTAATATAGAAAAAATTCCAATAAATTCAATTTCCGTAATTTCTAGAGTACTTTTAGTTTGAATAAATCAAAATTTCCTGAAATTTTGACAATGTGATAAAAATTAATAAACAATAAATTACTTAATCTAGATTGAAATTTATTCACGTGAGAAAAATCCTATGAATCAACTCTTTACTATTTCAAGATATTTATATTATCAAGTCATACATTTATTTTATTTTTACTGCTTGAATATTGATAACTCGGATCCATCCCATAAATTTTAATAAATATAAATGATATTGAATATATAATATTTAATATCTCTTATGTTACATCAAATAAAAGATTTTCAAACTTAAACTTCAATATATTTCAGTTTTCAAAATGTGGAAAATGCATAAAAAAGATAATGCAAATAAAAATTAAAAAAATAAAATTTATCAAACTAATTTAAGATATGTTTATCTTGTGTATTACTTTATTATCAATACTTTTCAAAATACATTTTTTTCAATTTTTTTCTAATTGTTCAATTTTCAGCCTGAAAAAGCTATAGTTTTATCATCGTCAAGATCAGGAATCAACTTTCCAATAATTTCATCATGAATTTGAGTCTTTCTATTAGGTTATATTTGTCAATTTTATCTGAGAATATTGGTATTATTTTGCCCGGAAACTTGTTAGAAGATTTGATATATATGTTGATTTAGATCAATAATGACATTATTCCACCATCTTATTACTTGCGTGTTAGTGGAATATAATTTTGCTCTACTTAGATAAGAGTTGAACATTTACTATCAAGTCATTATAGTCATAACTTATAATCATTTGTGAAGTTTCATTTGGAGTTTCATGTACGATCGTCTTGTCAATTTAATAAATTTATGATTGATAGTGATGTAATTTGTCAATGTATCACATTTTAGGTGATTAAAGCTATGAAACACACTTCAATCAATTTGCTCAAATGCAAGAAGAAAGAAAACTTTGTTGCATCTACGATGTATTTAGTGGAATTTTATGAATATCCAGAAACCCAAGAACTTTGCCGGCATGTTTCAACAAGATTTAAAAAACACATAGTTCAGCTTTTCTATTTTGTTTTGTGTCAAACATGTAATGTTAGTGTTACGTTGAACTTTTCATTTCTAGAATGATTAAAAGGTTTTGATGTATAACTATGTTCTACAGTATCTTCACTGTTAATGTAAACGTTTAGGGTACAAACATTTAAATGTACATATCTACAGTAACTTCGATTTGTAACTTCAAACTGTTACAGTTTGAAGTCAATGATCGTACAACAACTTTGTTTTGAGTGTGATAGTTTGAAGTAATCTCTACAGTTATGGATCTTTGTTTCTATGGTGGTCATTATTAATGTCATGCATCTTTGTTCCTATGGTATTCATTATTGATGTCATGCGGAGACTATCTTTACTAATTTCATTAGACATCCACCTGATGGTGCCATAGGAATTTGCGTAAGTATTGAGCTTACAAAAGGTACATATCTTCATTGCACTGTCCCAAAGGATGCATGTCGCAGAAGTCTACAAAGAACGTTATGTGACTATCAATTTCATTAGATTGTAAATTGATGAGTGATGTGATCAAATTGTGATCACTTTTGATCACAGGTATGCCAGGCACTTCGTAATAATTTCAATTGATATACGTTGCTGAGTCAGGTATTCTTTAGCGTGTGAAACTGATGTTGGTTTTTCTAAGGGAGGAATAGAATTTGAGATGAAGTTGAAGATAAGAGTCTTCTCACACCTGTGATTGGAGCGACCCATTATCATGTCATTTCATAGAAGTTTGACTGAGGAAAAAGTTTGCATATGAAGGTGATTCCAAACTTGCCCGAGTTAAATCCTCACTCCGCCTATGGTACAAAATTACTCATCTCCAAAGCTTGCGGGTACGTCATTCGCTCCAAATAAGTAGGATCTCAAAAGTGAATAATTTTTTAAAAAAATTCAACAAGAGAGGTACCTCCCTCCCTTTGAAGTATCACGAATTCAGACACATGAGTGAATTTATCATATTCTTCACAATCTGGCAACAGAAGCCTCTTAGGTATTTATGTATATCAATCTGAATAAAACAAAGTAACTACCAAAATACAACTTTATGACTTCTACATAACCTCACATAAATAATAATCATATATTCACATCAGGAAGGGTGCATGAAAAGTACCTTTACTACCAAAATTTCATGGATCATGCGCATGAAAAGCACCTTTTCATATAAAATTACATGGATAATGCACAGCAGATAAATACCTGTCGAACTCCTCGTGCCTCGGGGCTAGATTTTCTTTTGGCCTCGGTTGGCCACTGCAGTGTAATCTCGTTATTGCTTGACGTCTTTTATCCATGCGTCCGAGTTTGAGTTCGCGCGGCATTTACCACCCGACCAAAAGAATGCCCGAGTCAGCACAGTACACTTTAGTGCATGTATGGGACTAGAACTTGGACAAAAGACACGTTTTATTACGCGGTTCGGGAAAGGGTCTAACCAGCAAGTGCAACTTTAGACATTGGGCTTGCCTGCCTGCTTGTCAGTGCCGTACTCTGAGAAAGCGTGACCACTGTCAGCAAAGTGGAGTGCCGGGGGTGTGGAAATGTGTGTACTTTTCCCCTTTTTTGTGGTAATGTGTATCTATGGGATTGACCACTTCACTACACGTCAATTGAAGATTTCAATTTTTCCACATTCGCGACTTGAAAGCCATCGGGGCTGAGTCATAGACTTTGGAGTCTCGGGATGAGCTCATTCTCCAACTTCCGAGAATGTCCAAAGGTTTTCTCCAGATTTCCGAAATTCTCAACAGTCCAAAGCCTCAGGTCCAGAACTGAACGACTCTCGAATGAGCTCCTAATTTTCAAGATCTCTGTCTCTGTATAGTCCTTGATCAGATCAGCAAAACAAGGCGTGTAATGCTGTGAGAATTGATGTGCACGACTCGCGGCACGAAGTCGAGTGGCGTGGCGTGCATCTTTTCTCGGGAGTCAACGCCCACAGCCCCAGGCCACGGACATTGTTGCCTGCAGGTCGCCAACCCCTACGGAATCTGGACTCTGTCGCGCTGGTGGCTCATACGTATGCCAAACTCACAGCAATTTACTCGCATCAAGTTCTCGGACAGGACTGACATTAGGAACGTTCACAGGCGGAAATTGGCGCAAAGAGTACTCACTCATTGTAGATTTTCGCCTCGTCTTGACCGACGTAAATTATGATGGAACGATAAGTGAGCTCCGCACGATTCAATCAATTTATGTTTGTGGGTGAGGGCTTCTGTGATAAGAAACTATCTACATCCTTGGATTCTTGTATGTACGCGTCCCGAAACTTGGGAGTGGTAGAAGCAGAAATTTGTGGGAGCTCCTGACGGTCTATGCTATGACTGCAAAATTCAAGATATAGCATGAAAACGTAGCCACTGGAAAATCTAGTATGACAACATAGGCGTCAGAATTATCTCTGCAACACTAAGACGAACAAAATGAACTGAAGGTTTGTTGTGTGCTGGACATAGCTCTTCTCTACGATTCCTTCCTCTCCAATGTCCACTCTCACAGACAGATGAGAAGTGTCCAGTTTGAAAACGAATAAATTACATATTAGTCCATTTCGCGGTCGAGACACATTCCTACAGGTTTCGATGACATTCGTGGGCCCTCCTTCATCCACTTGAAAGAACACATGATTTCTCGACTTTTGTCAGTTAGATAGGATTTCTTCGGCGACATTCATGTGACCGAACACCAACTGTGCAACAGCCCTGAACCCCGTAGTCTGTCACAGTTGGCTCGCTGGACACTTGGAATTGAGATCTGTCATCAGCCCCGACTGGGCGGTCCAACGATGGAGCGATGGATCTATATATTTATACTGCGAACACGTTTTCGTCAGCGGAAAACCTCAATATCGTGAAGAAACGTCAGTTGCACGTACAGCACATTCTTCCGTTCAGAGCGAGCGAGAGAATCGAAGTTAACTCACGCAGGCCACCCGACCTTCTTGCGACAAGAGCTTGCGAAAGCAGCAAGAAGCCACAGGAGCCAAAGAATAGAGATCATCCACATCAGGATTGATGTGGCTCCGAGCAACGGAGATGCATGGCCGAAATCGATTCCAGTAAAAGTTGGAACTCTTGGACTCGCATCACGCAGGCGGACCTGGAAGAACAAAGCTTGTGTGCAGGCGAGCTCATCACACTCGCTCCCTCTGTCGAGAGTTAACCGAACCTTCACTTCACTTCACTGCAGGAGGAAGGGACCAGGGACATGGTTACCCGGAATCGCGGACCACGCAAACGGAAGGCGTCGACATCGTTCACCAGGCACATTAGCTGTCCACGACGCCCGCGACTGCCATCTCGGATCCAGGCGCGTTGTCCCACCAACCAAGTCGGCTCATAAACTGGAGCCCCCATGTGCTCCGGCCTCCAGCAATCTGGGTTTGTTCCTTACTTTGTACTTTGGCCCGATACGATGGATGGCCATGGCCGGGCACCGATGATGGAGCCCAGCCCTGCCCAACCCTACAGTAGCTTCCGCTTCCGCGCCAGGAGGACGCTGCTAAGTCGCTGCTGCGTTAAGTCACCCAAGAGGCAGGGTTTAGGAATTTGGAGCTCCTCCAAGTCTGGCGAAGGACCTACCGAGTAAGGTAAGAAGCGAGCGTCTGCCCTGCCCGGGCCTGCCCGGCCCGGGCCTACAGAGGTGAGAGTTGAGCACATGGGAACCATCACCAAGCAGGAGCTGGGTGGGGCCCACCGCGGATTGCTACCGAGCTCGCCGCTCCTGCCCGTCATAAACAGAATGGACCCAAAAGCGCCCGATCTCGCCAGGGGTCGACCGTCGATCCGAAGGATAACGCCCTTTTGTCTGGCGCAAAGAGCAAGGGGTTATTGGTGGGATCGCAGCGTGTTAGTTGGAAACGTTGATTTGACTCGGGCGTCGTATTGGGCTGCTCTTCAACAGGAGACGTCGGCCAGCCGGCCAGCCAAGCCAGCCAGCCAGCAGGCCAGCACCGGATCGTCGTCTCTCCGAGCGCGGGCGGGCGGGCGGGCAGCCGGAGCGCGGGCCTCCGGCGCGAGCACCAACAGTCGGTGTTGTAAAGTCAAATGGTCATTATTGCCGCGGAGAGAAAGCCGAGGGTGGGGCCCACGGCCCAACCCTTTGCTCCCAATAATTTCTCATCCGAGAGGCGGGATAGGGATACCTCGGCGAGGTCCGACGACGTCTTCGGCAGCCGTGGTTAGTCGGCTTACCGGTGTTCCTCTTTAGTCGGAGTCCGTCGGTCCTCGACGAGTGGACAACTGGGACAGTTGGATGGAACCCGCCCGTGGGCTAAATTTGCTCCAACATCCTCAAGGTCGGTCGAGGGGACCGGTACCGCAGACGTTCTCCGCGTATATACTGCGTTCGTAGATCCGGAGCCGCGAGCCGACCCGACCCGACCCGACTGCCTGCCAGTTCGTGAGGATTTCACGTGCGGCCCTGCATCAGCGCCTGTGACCGAAGAGCAGGCAGCGCAAGCAGGCACGAGCTGGAGAGTCAACTGCCTGGATGCATCACAGCATCAATTCTAGCGCATCGATGCAGAAAGCTACGCGACGACGACGACGGGATAGCCGGGAGGCACAGGCTGATGCAGACGAATTGAGATTTGGATTCCTTTCGCACCATTTTCGCATTTCTCTTCCTTCGTGCTAGCCTCTCTGTGAGAGCAGCAGCAGCAGCCCCGTCTCGATGTCGGAGGCGCATGTTTGTCGTTGCTCAAGAGTTGGGTCACCTCCGCAGCTGCATCGCCGGGACGAATACTCCGCGAATTGAGATCGTGCCCGGTGCCACGGCCAGAGTATTTTCCGCAATTTCCTAGCGCCTTCTTGCTCTCCCCCTTGCGGACTGATCTGGCATGGCATGGCGACTTACCTCTTCGAGTCCGGTGAGCGGAGATGTCACTTGTCGTTGTACGCCAGCCCGAGCTCTCCATCAGCTGCACTGCATACGCGAGCTCCAGCGCTGAGGCAAGGCAAGTGTGCTCCCGCCTGGCCCAGACTACTACTTCTCGCGTATGAACGCCGGGCAGCAGTTGAGGGAAGTCGCGGAGCCCATTCCTGAGAGAGGGCGAGAGGAGGAAGAAGAAGTCCGATGGAGACCTCCAGGGCGAACGAATTCCTCCTCGGTCGGATGCTCTCGATGCGCTTCTCTCTAGCTCTTCCGACGCGTTCTCTTCTTCGCCTGAGGGGCCTCCAACTCATCAAAATCCTTCGAATGGGCTGCGAATTGTCGTGATCGAATCACCCGGACTTCTCCCAGCGGTCAGTGACTCCTCCTCCGTGGTCGTCGTCGTGTGATGACCATTCTCCGGAATGGTGACGGCATCCGAGTGGGCGATACGTGAGGTGTGGAATTTCCCCTTCTGCGCAAGTGAGCTCGAGCTCGAGCTCCGGTCTTCGTGTTTGGGTTTTGCGAAGACATTAGTACAAAGAATTGTACAATGTCGAATGTAGGAACCGAAGCGGACGGCATTGGGTTGAATCTAGGGTCCGAAGTGGACGCCATCGTTGGCTTGGTAGGAGACGTGAATTCGTCAATTCATAGGATTAGAAGAGGATGGTTCACGACCGGCAAGGACATACAACTGTACACTGTCAAGGCCAGAAGTTTAAGTGACAGGATTACTTCCTGGACCGGACTCATCCATTCTCGAGGACTCGAATCTCATCAGCTAGTGAAGCCAATTTTAGAACAAGCCACCACCGCCCTGAATTCTCTCGACAAAGAAGCAGCTTATATCAAAGACTTGCGTCACAGGTGCTGCATGCGCTACAGAAGCACTCTCCTCCGCTCCACGGTTTCCAGAGATTTATCTTCGAAGCTGAAGAAGATGGGAAATGCTCTTGCCGCTCTCCAGGCGCCTGGTGTTCTCGACGAGCTGAACCAAAAGACCGGCACTCGAGCGATCGGTCATGGCTCCAAAGCTCCGAAACTAGCGTTCTCGCGCGATGCGAAATACTGCCCCATCCAGGCCACGGTCGACGAGGTGGTCGAGGCTTTGGAGGGCAAGGATCGCCCGCATGTGGTCATATTGTCCGGCGAGGCTGGAACGGGAAAATCCGCTCTCGTGAGAGACTTGGCCCTGGCCTATCAGGAGGAGCATCAGGAAGAGCGAAAAGGTCCAGATTCGGAAGCTGTGGATATGGCGGACGGCGGTCGAAATGGGACCAGCACCAAGCTCTTCACCAACGGGGTCGTGTACGTTCCCTGCGGAAGTGAAGCAGACAGCAAGGTGAAAATCGCCGAACTGTTGTGCAGCTTGGGCTCGTATTCGCCCTTGGCAGCAGAAGCAGACGACGAATCACGGCGGTACTCGGAAGACGCGCTTCGCGAGAGGCTGTGCGCGAGTCTGGAGACGCAAGATCTTCTCGTCATTTTGGACGACGTCTGGGAATCAGCCTTCTTACAGCGGCTCCTCGTACCGGGGAAGAAGGTGAAGTTCCTGGTCACAACGCAGGATTCAGGACTTTGCGCTGGAGACTATTCTAGTCGCAGGATAGTTATGAAGAAGCCTCAGAAGAAGGGCGCGGAGTTCATTTTCTTGAACCACACGGTGGACTCTCAGGATGGAATTCCGTCTTCGATTCTACAGGTATGCGAGTGTGCATGACATTCAAATTTTCCTTTCTCATCGACATCGAAGGATAGAGAGAAATCGGTCAGAACCTGAGCTTCCTGCTGAACGAAGAATCTTCTCTCTGGTAGTGAACAAATTTCTGAGAATCTAGCCGAGTCTTGTCGTTTCTCACATGCTGTGATTTGGTTGGCTTTCTTCCTCTCTCAGGCTGATCCAACAAAATCAGCGCATGACGCTTTCTGACTTCTAGCACAGTAGCTTGGAGACGTCACGTTCTGATGTTGTTTCTAATTTTCTTCCAGGAAGCGGTGGAGGGTGTATTAGAAGAGGGGGACGATAATCCCTTGGTTTTGAAGAATATAGCTGTGGCCATTAGCGGTCTTCGATCCACGGGACAGAAAGTAGCGCCGTGGCAATCCGTCTTGAAGAGATTCCGGGATTCCATAGCAGGGCAGGATGCGAGAAACGGGTTGACAGATTATGATGCGGAATCTCGAATTGGAAAAGAAGTGTTGAGCTCCTTCGAGCTGGCCATGGAGTCAATTCTAGAGGAGGCACTACACCTTCTTCTGTTGGCATCACAGTGCGAAGGACCATTGGTTCCTGGAGTGGTTATTAAGACGTTGCACACTGCCACCTCCTCCAAGGGTTACAATAGTTTCTCCAATTTAACGAACTACTTGGAGAAGAGAGGCTTCATCCGTCTCCAAGACTCTGAGAGAAAGAGATCATGCTGGTCTTTGGAAAGTGCGCAATATTTGTCTCGCAAAATCGCCAAGAGCGAGGAGGAGATGACTATGCTCACCGCTTCTTTGCTCGCAAATAATGCCCCGGGATTATCAGCCAGTAAAAGCGCTCTAGGTTTGGTAGATTACAGTTCCCAAGCCGACAGTACGTTAGTGGCTGCCCTTTGTTTTGTGTACGGGGAGAAGAACTTGTCAGCCAAAGCGGCCATCAAGCTCACGATCATGACTCCCACTCAAGGAAGAGGCTTGCTCAGGCTGGCCTTGGAACCCGTCGTCTGGCTGCTCCACGTCGATCATGAAATTGAAGAGGAATGGGAGCAAAAAGCGTATTGGTCTGCCAGAGCGGTAATCTTCAGACCAGAGCATGTTCTGTACTTTTCTGTTCTGGTTTGTTTTTTGTGAATTGCTTTCTGTACTTTTTACGACCGGGTGACTTACTACCTATCATTCCACAGGTGTTGATCAAATATACAAGTGAAGGTGTAATTGATGATGAAGCAGCTTCCACACTTCTATCGATTCCAGAGAGTGCACCAGCAATGTGCCGGATGCTGCAAATCGTTGGGGAGACAGGGGAGAGGCCGATTTTAACTGCAGATACTCCGCTATCAACTCAGGCCTTGCTGAAGTTGTTGCGCAGGGATGTGGATAAACCTTCTGACCTGCAAAGACTAGCTGCTCAAACGTTGGGGTCCCTTGCAGAGAAGAGCTACCGAGCAATTTTCGCAGAGCCCAGCGCGTTGGAGAAGTTGGCGCAGTTATTGGCAAAGGATGTGAAGGCTTCAGCTCAAGCAGCTGCTGCTCTGGCGATAGGAAAACTTGCAGTGAACGACGACATCCGGGTGAAGATAGCCTCCGCTTGTGGTATCTTGCCAAGGCTGCTCAGTTTGTTGGAGAAGGATGAGGACTCTCAGGTTCAGGAGGCGTCTGTCTACGCCATCGCTAGACTAGCCCTCAACGCCCACAATGTAACCAAGATTGCAGACCATCAGCCGACACTCACGACATTGTCAGCTTTTCTCGGCAAGGGAACAGCCTCCGCTGTGCAGGTCCAGGCCGCAAGAGCTCTAGCGAACCTCGCTCGTCTCGAGAAAGTGGCTCTGCGCATAGCTGGATGTAACGGCGTCCTGAATGCTCTTGTCCTACTTTGCCAAGAAGACGTCTGCTCTGCAGTTCGGCTGCAAGCATCCAGACTTCTCAAAAACCTGAGTGCGTGCCAGGATAACCATTCGGCTATCTGCAGCCATCCAGGAGTCATCACGGCAGCCATTGCGCTGCTCAAACCTGCTCGTGGTTCGAGCGACCATCCACACCCAGTGGCACTGGTACACAATGGTGTGGGGATCTTCGCCCAGTTGAGCTTATCCAAGAACTGCAGAACCACGATTGCGGAAACTCCAGGCGCGATCAAACATCTCCTCGCCCTGGTGGGCAATGACCCCACTTCCCAGCTGCATAAGCACGCGACCAATTGCTTATCGAATTTGGCGCTCACTGTACTAGACGGCGATCATTCTCTGAGCTCTGAGGAGTGCCAAGCTCTGGCAGCCTTCTGCCATTCTGGTCCAGATTCTCGCCCGTGCCAGGCAAGCACTGCCAAGGTCAACCCCGGAGCCCCAAAAGTACGTTGGGCGACCAAATGGTCTAGATTTCTCCGAGCAACTCCACCTCGAATTCGGGGTATTAATTGTGATTTGCTATCACCCGTGCGGACATCAGTTATTGAAGTGCATCTCCCTTCTACGACAATCACAGCGTAGGATGATATGGAGCTTGCCCCGCATTTAGGATAGACAGAGAGTCCTGAAAGGTAGTTTTAATGGTACAGGCGGAGTAGATCGGAGAGGTACATCCAAAATTTTGTAGATAAAATTGACCTTTGGGTGGGTACCAAAGGCTCATCATGAAACCATCAGCCCTGTTAGATGTACAGACTCTTCCATTTAAAGTAAAAACTCAGGCTTCATTTTTTGGAGAAGAAGCTTACCGGGAGGCGATAGTGTGTATACGTCCTCATTCATCCAGGACGTAGTTTCGCTACACTTCGACAGAAATCGAACTTGTACAGCTTATTGGCCTGGTTTTGCATTTATTCCTTTGATCTTCACTTTAGAAGTTAATATTTAACAGTCTACTTTCCACAGAAATGGTGTGGCCCGAGCACAAGTTTGAAGTACCGGCCATGGATAAATGGGGAATAAAGTTTCAGAAGAAAATTTTTGAGGAAGATTATCACCACATAGGCAAATTTTGACTATCCTGTTCCGTGATTGGGTGATCTTGAAATTGCGTTGTCAAAAGAGAACTTGTTAGCGCAGAAGGAGGATGGTTTTAATGCCCAATCACGGACGAATGTGTCGACGTGCATCTAACAGCAAATTCAAACATCAAGCCATCAGTCATGGCACTGTACACTCCATATCCAGCCAAGCTCAACGAAGCTATACCACATTGTGCTCTCACAAATCTGACAAGCAGAAATCGACAAAGAGAGCCTCCGGCAGCAAAGCAGCTCATTATTGATAAGGCTGGCTGTGCACTGTCTGAGCGCTATCGCATCTTTCAGTATTTACTATATATGGTGCATTACCCATTTTCTGCTCAAATCTCTCTGTTTAACTTGGAAATCCTGGGTTGGCGCGAACTATCTCTCCATATAGACTTTACTCGAGCTATGACTACCCTCTCAAACGTGCGCTTTGCCCCGCAACCAAGTAGGAGTCACAGAGCGCAGAATCCATGACAACTCAGCGGCTACCGTCTCTAAATGTCCAGTCCCATGATTTCGGGCTGTGTCAGTTGAAGTTTGGATGAAAGGATTATTCAAGTAGATAGTACATTCTAAAGTGATGAGCAAGTATATTCCCCACAATTTTCTACACAAATCCAGTTTGAAAGCCCTGGTTTGATTTCTTCCTACACACACAGCACGACCATCATTGACATGTCGGAATCAGATCAAGTGCGACGTTCTGGAGTAGAATAAACTTCTCCTGTCTCATATCATTCTCCCGACTGGTAAAGAAATGGCATCCTGGTAGACAATATCACATGTTTTAAACGTTTCAGGTGGAGCTAGCGAGGCCGGGCCCAAACGTTGAAATTTATTCAAAATCAGTGCAATGAGGCAAAATTAGTTCATGACACTGGTGTATCAAAGACTTGCTGACGTGACGCATCCTCACATGTGGCAATCGCAACTCATGAGCTTGAATGCAGGAAATCACATCGGCCAGTTTCTCTCATCATCTGCTAGAACTCCTGCCTCGTCTTCATCGGCTTCGTAACCAAAGCTCAAAGATCTAAAGCTGAAGCCCGTCTTTTCAGTCTTCAGCTTTCATCGCCAGTCCACAAACCAAAGTTTTTGGGTTGGCGACAAAAGCTCAAGACTAAAACGACGTAACTGAATCTCTCCGATCTAGACGTTCTATGGATAGTCTCGGGGATGGCGTATCCACACAATGTGGCAAGTATTCGCTGAGTCGGCTTTTGAGAGAATCTGAGAAGAAACCTGTAAACTGTTTCCTTCTCAGTTTCTCGCTATCAATACCTCAGGAAAATGAACGAGACTGTTCCAGCGAGAAGTCACCTCCACACAACCACAGACTCCGACTAAGAACTGCTTAATCCTCAGTCTCTCACTGTCAAGACCTCAAGATAATCAACAGGCCTGTCGCAGCGAGAAGTCACCTTCTCACAATCACAGACTCGAACGAGGAAAATTGAAAATCCCCAATAAAAAAGTGGACGTGCAAGCCGTGCATCTTTGTCGTGCTTACGACCACCAGCTGTATGATACCTTTCGCACCTTGCTTGCGGAATTCGATGTCACACCTTCGTTACCTTCGTTAGGGTTATTATACACAAACCCTAACAAAGTGCGGAAAACAAATTATTGTAACGGTCACGAATTACGACGGTTACGACGTGACAGGGGAGTTCCCAAACCCTATTACCTCACTGAATCTATAGCGTCACTTACATCGCAGGCTCGTACTACTCGCAACACGGCCCATGTAATTCCATGCCACATTGCGCCTCGGGCAAGTTTTGGTACTACCCTGACATCCACGTGTGAGCTCCACACCATCTTTGTGCCTAATCTGCTTCTCCGGCATCGTGGTTCACTTGGTTGGCGTTGGTGACGTCTGTGGCAATTGGCCACCATCGACACGGAGGTTTGGCAATATTCCGAAGTTGGTTAAAAATTGGCTTCGCTGTGATGCAAGCATGCACCTTTTTACATTCGTGCACCGGACGCACATATGAAACAAAATTATAACGTTCTATTCTTTGAATAATAACAAAGTTCAAAATTTTTTTCAGTTCGGATGCATTTACAATAAATACTGTATTGGAGTATGCGTGATTGAGTCATAGGGTGAGGATGCTTGTAATAAAGAATTGAGAAATACGGGATTGACAAAGAGAGGAAACAGAGTGAGAGCTTTGGCAAGAAGAAGAGCAAAGAAAGTGAGACCAAAGTGTATTATTCAATTAGGAGGTACCGGAGTAGGCACTGGACTCGTTGAGTAGAGGCAATAACGGCATGTACTTGAAGTGAATGGTTGAAGTTGAAGTGAATGGAGAAGCAAAAATATAATCGTTCAAAAGAAACCTTGCTTTTCAGTTACAAGAGGTGCATCCAGATAACGGACTATTCGATCTTTAGCTTTGAGGAGGCAGATATGTTATCATTTCCAAGCATTCAAAACTTTTTATCTTTTAATTTTTTTAAGGTTATAATTGATAACTAAATGATTGCTTCAGTAGGTTGTGTTCTGAGTATATTGATATTTTTTCCATGTTACAGGTTAAGTTACAATTGATTATGTAGTTATGTGCATGAAGTGGATGACTGTAGAGTGGAAAAAGCCCTAACAAAGATAAATGAATTTGAAAACTTCGACAATTTTCTGTTGAAAATTGAATTTCAACAGAAGACATAGAATTTCAACATTTACGTTACGTTTATCCTGAAACTTTGATCTGAATAGAATACTCTTCAGTGCAAGGCGATAGCTAGATTATATAAAATATAGTAAAATTGACAGGATTGCATTGATTATCACGGATATCATGTAAAAATGGTCATGATTTTATCAATATATTATTAGAATAAAATATTTTGAAAAATATTACACATGTCTACGCATATGAAAGTTTAAAATTTGAGAAAAATTAAAACAAGATTTCAATAATCATGATGATAAGAGTCAATGATCGCTAAATTCTAACAATTAATGAAAGTTCAACGTAGGATGATCAGGGAAAAAAATTAAAAAATTTGCTGATCTAAATAATTTTTTAAAAAATTGTACATCAAATTATTTTGATATGATTAGTTTGAATCAATGTATATGCAACAACATATAATTATTGATAAAAAAATCGTCATTCAAACAAAAAAAAGTAGATACTTTGATCATTTGATCTTTTTAATGTTGAAAATATTATTGAATTATTTTGTTAAATAAAATCATCAGTTTCATATTCTTTTAGGAATAAGAAACTGATGGCATTTTATCAAACTTATATCATTTTCCAAAAAAATAACAAATACTTCAAAAGCTATCATTATTTCAAACTTGAATACTAATCATTTGAGTGAAATTAATAATGTATCTAAAAATTTGAAATCACACAAAATAAAAAATTTAGATTAAAAAATTTAGAATTTATCGTATATTTAAATTTATTTGGCGGAAAATTTGTTATATCATTTTTCAATATTTTAAATGATTTTGATGTACTTACTTCAAATATATTGCATAAAATAATAGTAATGTTTATAATCAAATTTAACTACTGTCAATTAAAATGGCTTTTGTGAAGATGAAGTTTTTAATTGATGTTATTGACTTGTTGTATATGATAATAGATGTATTATCATCAATTCATGTGTTTTTCAGAAAATTAAATGTTTATTGAAAATGTCATATTGATAATCATTGTACTCATGGTGGTTTATGTCACATTATACATTCACAACAAAAATTTGTAGATAATGAAATCCTATCAAGTTATAATTTTGTGATTATAATTTAAACAAAAATCCATGCGACGAGTTTTCATTTTTTCACTTCAAATAATAATATAAAATCATATTCAATTTCTTGATTGAGTTTAAAAAATTTTATTGAAAAAAATTCAAACAATCACAATTACTTATATGTTTTTGAAACTTTCAATAGATTTAGTTGTGAAATTGCCTTATACATCAATTACTTAAAGAATTTTTTGAGCATGTCAATTATTTGATGAATATTATATCAACACTTGATCATGTTTATATCAATTATAACACAATTAATTCTTGATTAAAAATTGCTGTAAAATGATAACTTACATCATAAAATTTTGATAAATAAATATGGTAATCATATAATATAACAGATAAAATTTCATATCCAATATTGTAATAAAAAAATGCAACTATTCCAATTTTTTTGTTATACTTAAAAAGAATTCATTCATATAAAAATCATTATCAATATTAATTTTGCTTGTTTGAGTTACATGCATGTTAGAAAAATTATACAAAAAATTTCAAAAATTTTAATTCTTTCATAAATTTAAATTATGTGTATAAGAAATTAAATTTATCAGTATTTTAAACAAAAATTAGATCATTATTATTTTAAATCCATATTCCAGAACTAATTGTTAAAACCTCTGTTGAAGAATTATTTAGGACTAGAAAAATTAATCATAGGTCTCGAATATGTTTTAAAGAGATGTGGAAAAAAGATGTTGAGATGTTGGAGATAAAATTTGGATAAAATTTATCTAACGATTCTTCTTCAGCTGACAAAATATAAGCTTATGTGATGGTTTGAACATAAAGTTTTGTAACATTTGACTAATCATAATTATTTAAATAAGTGAAAAAGAAGATACCATTTGCATAAACAATGTAAAGAAATACATCCATGATGTGACCAAACAAAATGGCTGTCATGATCTCTCAACAAGCAGTAAAGTGTTTAGATCAACATACTAGAGTTGATGAAAAAGACAAGTCTAATGTGAGTTGGAGGTTACAAGTGTGGACAAGATGTTGAGATGAAAATCATTCATCTTCAATGATCACACATGGAAAGATCTCATGAATATGCTCTGAGTATTGTTATTATACAGTTGCAAGTTTTATTTATGAAGCAAGTTCATAATCATCTAGCTTAGTTAATTAGAATTAAAATAGAGATTAATCAAGATGGATATATAGTTGTATATAGCATTACAATTATTTTTGGTTGCCACGATTAGTGTGTTTGATAGGTAGGCAAGAATGCACACATTAAGAAATAATTTTCATGTGAAATTAAAATTGATGATACTATCCATGTGATTCAAACTTTGATATTGAGTAATATGACTTGCTTGACAATAAACTAAGATGTCAAATGCAGCTCATCAATATGCATCAAACACAAATAATCAACACACCAAAAATTGCACACTATTCGAAACTAAACACAAAAAATTTTACTCATACTCTAAACATTCATCAAAGTATTTGTTAAGCTATTTCAACTAGTGAAATTTTAACTAACTTTATAAATTAATGTCTTATCAAAATTTAACTCAAACCAAAAAATTTGAGTTAACTTTTGATAAAAAAATTTAAAAAAAAATTAACAAAATTCATTAATAACAATAAATTATTTTAAATAAAAATTATTATTCATCCAGAACTTGATAATGCATCTTTTTTTACCAACTGCGTGGACGTAAATTGTAAAGCACTTTATTTTGATTCATTTTGATTTCCTTAAATTATTGAATCGATTTTTTTGGTTGTAATCATAATGAATAAAATAAAACGTATAATAAATACAACTTGAGATAGAAAAAGTTATTTGATTGAAGTCTTGCGGAATACACAAAACTTGTTAGAATCCAACACAAATCATCAACCCAATAAAATATTCAAGACGGCTTTGCGGTCCATCCTAATCCATGTCTCAATATGAACTCTTGTAACCTAATAGTTGGCAGCTATAATGTGAAGGAGTGACTTCTCCTATCGGATCAAAGCTCTAGAGTACTTTGGAGTTAAATCTGAAGTGTTTCCTTGATACCTTATCACTTATAAGTTATAAGTGATTATCGTGACAAAATGCAATTCAGAATACCCAGGTACTAAAAATGTTCATGCACACCTTAACATTGATAAACTAAAACTCAAGTCGCACTCTTTGTCTCCTCTAGTTTTTAATCGTCTCGTTGATCGTAAGGTGCACCTATCAAAATTGTGAGCTTGTTGTTTTATTTGCAGATTTTATATCAAGAACTCTCAAGTTACTGAAAATATACGTTTGTGTTTGGTTCGTAAATACATTTTTAAGTTTTAAACTATGACACACAAGAGTTTGCGAAGGTTTCAGGAGCCCCGTAATTAATACAGAGATCATATTAGGACATGGGTAATAGTGGGCTGCAAGGCCCCCCTGGGAGGTTCCATCGGATAAAATGAATGGTTCCAGATCTAGCAAGTGTTTTGCGTTCCGCAGGAATATCATCAAGTAGTTTTCTCATCAATATATGATAATCATTTTGATACACAATATGAGGATTAAAACTCTAAGCTTGTTGCATTAGATTAAGATTATATTTTTTCTACTCATTTAGAACTTTTAGCAATTTGATTTTTATCTAATAAATATTCTGTCATTATCAATTTGAGAAAGCCATTACTTAAAAAAATTATTTCAGATTGAATATTATTCAATTTCGATGACTAAGAATTTGATAAGATTAAACTTTAAGAATTCACTTTAATGCATAGTTTGCAAAATGCTTAACATTTCCAAAGGATAGAATTTATGTTACAAGTCACGTTCCGATTGGTACTATCGAATTGGCTACCAAAAATACCTCAACTTGTACAACCTCGAAAGGAACCGCGATGTCTGGTTCACTTCTGGAAAACAAAGCAAAACTGGAAAGATCTGCCGAAGTGACTTGATATGAGATTGGTTGAAAGTCAAAGTTCATAGCTGATTCCACCTCTACGGCGATATTGTGCTACCAATTTTGTACTGTAAGCTGATTTTCAGGTGTTTCCGTGGAGTCGTGAACTTAGAAGTACACGAATGAGGACTTCAACCATACAAGGTCCGAATTTTAGCTGAGTAAGTTCTGACAATACTCAAACTTTCAATGGTTCTTGGATTGAAGTTTTTGAGAATTCTTAGTCAAATTCATCTCTAGGGCCGGTCACTCCGGGCCCATTTATAAAACAGACGGCTACCGTACAAAAGATAATTCCATGCTCAAAATATGTTCGTCGGATAAATTGTATAACTTTCAAATAAGAGGTGATTATAAGCTATTCTTAATCTACATAGAGTTGAAATCCATGTTACGAAAATTGACAAACTTTTGTCAATTGGAATGCAAAAATAAAGATACTTACGAGAAATCAAAAACTCCACGCATGTTTTGTTAAGTCTGCGGAAGTAGACAGTAACATATAGAAAAGTAAATAGAAATTTGTAGTTAGCTTAGTCAATTGCATGTACAAATACTATAAATTGTAACATATAGAGTTAGAGTTTGTGAGTTGGAAAGGTTCGTGTATAATTGTGAAACATATCAATTTTCAAATATCGAGCCAAGCTGTGTGCTCGAGATGGTTGTGTATCAAAAAATTTTGATCTTCTATAAAATAAATGAGCATATATGTATGTTTGGCTTTTAATCGAGTAAATGAATTTTGTAGGCCTAAGATAATGACTCCGATATACAATTAACATGGTTTATCGTTACATGATATATCATGTAGACATTACCAATGATAGGATTATTTTAACACCCTATTTCTTTATCCTAGTTTCACAGAATTCCTAGTACATTGACAAACTAATCATATACTAGTGTTAAAATACTTAATTTGAATCAACCTATTAGCAGAATTGATATAAATACATAGGAAATTTGGGAGACGAACATTATCAAAGAAAGATTGAGACATTAGACGACCATGTTTCAAACGTATCCATCCTCCACATAAGAAATCTGAGGGGGAAGTTTGTGACTTTGGCTCTTACGTCTTTCTCAAAATTATGCAGTTTTTTACCTAAGATTATTGATATCTTGTGATGTTCTAGTGCATATTTAACGATGGAGGCGGTTGATCCATCGCCTGGCACTGCTGGGAAGAATGGCGTCTCGATTTAGATCACATATCAGGCAGGCAGGGGTCGAGTTGTCCCCACTAACGCAGGAATACCAAGAGAACCTACAATTGCTTGGCGAGGTTATTTCATTGTACAATGCATGTAGAACTTTAATGTTGGTTTACTTTAAGGGAGATTCTAATAGAAAGATTTTCTCTCTGTACGGGAGAGAATGCTGACATTAACACGAAAAGAGGATCTTGAGCCATGCTGAATCCTGGTAGTAATGTCCGTGAACTTTTGGCTCTGTCTGCGAATTTTCATAAATTCTTGACATTCAGACAGCCAAGAATTTTCATATCAACCAAGAATATTCATAAATCCTTGGTTGATATACTCCAACTGTCAACTCTCTGGGAATCTCGACTTTAACAAGCTTGATGTAGTCTGTGAGTGACTTATTCTGCAATCTGTCCGACTACATAACCTGTCACGAATGTTCGTAACCTCTTAAATCTTAATTTTTCAACAGTTGATTCTCTGGGACTTCTCAGTCCTATCAAGCTTTAATGTTGTTTAAAAGATTGACCTACTGGGGAATCTGTGTACTGGACCTGATGTCGGTTGATCCATATAGAATTTGAAATAAGAATGAAATGTGTCCATTTTTCTCCAGAAGAAACGAAAGTTCAGTATCACGTCAGAGCAGTTCCGAAAAGCTTTCTCACTTCATGGCGGACTAAACCTCCCAAGTTTACATCCAGTACATGAGTACATGCTCCGAGCCCATATCTCATGGCTCCACAGAATATTGAGATGAATTGTGAGCCGAACGCATGCATTGTGCTTGGATAGTAAAACTTCAAATTTGAGCAAACGGCATACGAATGTCATGGCTGTCCGAAAATTTCCAGTTGATGATAGTTTGCAATAGATCACGACGGCCACAGCAATCCAAAGTTCTCGAAACCACAAGGGCTTTGTACACAGCAATATCGTGAACTCACAATACTTCCTTTGACAGAAGTCATCTCTTTCACTGTACACTACGTACTATCCCACGTACATGGTCCGGCCATGACAAATCATTTCCAAGCTCAACATGTTCATATGGCCACCAACATGACTTCATGGGCCTTCGGTACCGCTAGCACTGCTCGGGGCTTGGATTAGTCGAACTAATCGGACCAACTATTCTGCGATCGTAGCCGCAGTGGATACTAAAATCATACCTGGACATGGTGCATATGAAGAACTGCGAGAGTGTCGAACCTTATTGGTGATTCTGTTGTTCGGTCCTGGTTTCCGGCCAGACGGGAATCGAGGCAGGAGTTCAAGCAGGATCTTTTCAGGCCATAATTATTCCGAAATGCTCCTCATAAGCAGCGATTCATCCGTCTTGACGTGATTCAGATATGAGAAAGGAGCACGGTCTTTGTTTCACATACAAGTGGCATTGATCTTCCAAGCCATCTGAGGATACAGACACTGACCAGGACGAATGCCAAAACTCGAATCCCGATCTGACTTGAGATGAAGCTTATGTACACACAAAGCATCAGTAGATCGGGACGCTCCCTTCCTTTTAGAGCACTTGCGCACATTATTCTGCACTCCCCGATCAAGCCGCAGTGACAAGGCGAAAGGGGCACGAGAAGAGCATTTACGTTCATTACGAGCATCCGTGAGTTTGACTAGGTCCATGGCTTGTTATAGAGAGAATCAGGAATTTCCTTGTCCCAAACTTTGGTTCTCCCACTTGGACTCAGTACAGAAATCATATTCTACTCGATAACATTGAAGTTAGAACGGATTTTGCTGGGGAATACAAGCCGACAAGATCTGGAGAGTAATCATGAGTTTCTTCGAAAGATTTGTGTTTCGTCGTATTCGAGAACAAAAGCTGGCTGGCATGTTGGCAGCCATAGGCTGGCTCGTTTGCAAAGGACAGGTGATAGTTCCTGCCTTCGGATGGCTCTGGAAATTTGGAGGCATCAAACATGTGTACTGACTTGTAATGATGCAACGACGTTGGACTGGGTCTATACTTATCGAATGCTTAAATTAAGCATGGAAATGATGTTTCATGCACTTGTCACATAGTGAATTCGCGAATGATGCTCTCTGTCTGCGTCGTCGAGTCACTTTGCTGCGGCGTTGGCAGATGGCCTGGACGCCGGAGTGAATACAGTCACTTCGGGGGGATGAAACAAAGCACAGCTCGATGCCATGAACGCGTCGATGCTCTGGACCATTCATAGGTCGGGTAATCATGATGGTCGAGCCTACGATGGTTCACGCCGCGGACGCTGGCTGGAGGGAACTTAACACCTACTCGACCAAGAGTTTTTGCTGCAAGTCGAATTTCTCAACAGTTCGCTGCACGAATCTGATCCACTGAAGTGCTATACCCCAGGTTCAGAAGAACACGAATGCTCAGCAGGTTGTGATCTGACTCACTCTCCATATTCCATGGATGGGTCTTCGACTGTGGAGGTCAGGTGATGGGCATGCTGTGTTTTGCACTGGACTTGAAGAAGATAAGCAAGTGATTCGATACACGACTCGAGCCGATGTGACCAGATCGGAGTAGCACAGATGTGGATCACTACTGTCAAAAGCAATCCAGTTTGCTTGCAATCCAGTTTTTCATAGACGAGAGATTGTAGATACTGGGTGGGCCAGTGAGCATGTACTTTTTGTAGACTTGAAGGATCTCACGGTTTGAAAGCAAGTGCATCGAACTTTTTCCAAGGCTGGGAAAAGTAGGCCTATCGATGGGCAATGCGCACTCTATATGGGCATGCTTGGAAGTGTACACTCGACAGAAGGTGGTACAGATAGTGCAAGCGGATGGCAAGTATGAAGAGTTTCCAGACCCCATGAATGTAGCAGTTGTAATGCGCATGTATCCAGACCACCTTGTAGTGCATTGCAGCTCGTTGGATCGTCCTACGGGGGGAGCACTGAGTAAAATCATGATCATGAGACCGGACCAAGAGCTCGCAGTCGGACAGTCATATCTGCTTCATCCAATTCCAGCTCAATATCGTCGGACGATTTTCAAAGCTTACTCGATTCCTCTTCCCAAGAGTCCCTTGGGCTTGGGACGGGATACGGAAGGACTACTGCACAGCTTTCGGAAGACGAGGAGCCTCAAAAGGTTGAATGGCAAGAGGAAGAAACGAGTGGCGGCTCTCCGGGAATTATGCGCTGCCCTCCTGCAGCCGCTGCAACCTGTGCCGATTGGGAGCTCCATGGCATCGACTGAAAAAGTCCCGGACTCGGGCCCATCGATCATGTCGAGCAGCAGACGGAGGGCCAGCCTTGGGCTAGCGCTCACAAAAGACATTTCCGAAGCTCCAAACGCCCCGCTGCTTGATTCGAGAGCAGCCAATTCGGACTGCGCTGAAGATAAGCCCAAGACCTCCTTTGGATGCGATGGATGGAGGCCTGCTCTGGACAGTATCCCTGAATCACCTGGACGATCCTTCGGAAGTGACTTCCAATCAAATAGCTTAAGATATCATCTACTTGTTGATCAACGTCAGGACGGTTAGTGTTAGGTCATCAGAAAAGCTTCCCTCAACTGTATATAAGTATCTCTGAATCTTGAGATGGTGTACTTGATCATCTTGACAACTTTACTAACTTGTACATGTTGGATTCGAACTTCCTTCTCCATCACCAGCTCTGGATTTGTAATTGCTTGGCTTCCAAAAGTTTTCCATTTGCCATACCGACACGGAGAAACACTAACGAATCACTTTAGGATTCAGCATTTTTCTTGCTCTTGTTATCGATACGAGAGGGCTGACGGATATCAAGCAGATAGACTTTTGAGGATACTATAAAACTAACGTGCACCATTGTCACCGCTGTATTTCTCAACTCGTTCCCGGTACCTGGAAGAGCTGGCCAGATGAGTATCCTTTAGCCTGCATAGCTCAATTTCACTTCTTGTATCCTAGTTGCTATAGTTCAGCATCGCTAATTAGCATGACCTCTGGATGATTGACAATACGTGATAAAAGCAGGAACTAAATCCTGCCGCTTATCATCTCCGTACAGCACCAACAAATGAGTTTTGTAACTTCCATTCAATTCACAGTTCGTTTCAACGAGCTGATCCATTTATCATTTTTAGCTAAGATGTTCTTTTCATCAGATTCTGATCTCAGGAAGGTCACTCGAGGCAAATCTTCATCGAGGGTGTCAAATATTTTCCCACCGTCTTCAATTGCTTCAAACGCACGCCCATATTGGTGGCACTGATGATTTCTTTGAACTGAACTCATCTGACTGCATATAAGTGGTTAAATAAGCAGTCGCTGGAACGTGTTACGATGGCTGGAATTTATCGATCCCTTATAAACCACCTCCGGAAAGAAGTTCAACATACCCAAGCAGCTTGGCATGCCGAGCGTCAACCTTGACTGCAACATCAGATCTTTCTCGAAAGATCTGATGTTGTATCTGATTTCTTTGTGTGCGCACTCTACAGAATTCCGACCTGAACACATTCTACCCGGTCCGGAGTATCGTGTTTTGTTTACACTGATCCGGGGCTTCATTAGCTGTGTGAACACAAAATATGAAATTGAAGTATCTAGTGATCCCGGACTGTCTAGTCAAAAGTCAATTGTCAACGTCGCCGCGACCGCAGCAGCTGCAATCGTTTGATGTTTAATCAAGCACTGCCGCTTCTGCTTTTCTTTCCTGCCATTGATCCAGCGACAGGATGACCCAGAGTGTGTCAGGAATCTATTCCGAATTAAGCTCCTATTTTTTAAGAACAAAAGGCTTTAAAAGCCGGCACTGACTATTTGCTTATGAAGACCGGAGCTACCACAGCGTGTAATGTTCGAGAATAGTTTTGGGATTCCAAGAATCCCAGTGGTGCAAAAAGCCACCTCTGAGCTCGACAGCTGCAACCAAGGAGGGAGCATATACAAGCGGATTAAAGCTGCATTCATCCATGATTTCTGGCCACCCACTTGCTCTTACCCAAGTGCAAGAGCGTCATCGACGATTCACGAGCTGTGTCAGAAGGAATCACTCGTGGGATTTTCGAGTGTAATGAACGTCAGATACTGACAGCATCTAGAAAGGTGCAGAAAAGACTTCTCCAGCGTCGGAGTTGCAGTAGCTTGAGTCTTTGGTTTATTTACGACGAGTCCAATGGACATCCGGTATTCAAACGTGACTTGAATCCAAAGGTGGAGACGACGCAGCCAACCGCGCACGGCTCTTGAGTTATCTGGATCGAACAATTGGGAAGCGATGGAAATCTTTGACCCACTCATCAGCAGAAGAATTCGAAGAGACAAACACCGACCGACCGCTAGAGCGGTCAATCGAAGGTCACTCGAAGTTGGACCCGGGGCAAAATTCCCTTCCTCCCGGTGGCTGACAATTATACTGCCTGGTGACGAGTTAAGAAGATGAAGCACTCATGATCTACACGAGCCTACTGATCCTAGACTTTGACTACAACAGCATAATCCTCTGCAACTCTTTTGCACAGAGCAATAATAATGAGGCCCTACTGCGTCCCATCATGATCAGTCAAGTACACACTGCAAATACACCCTTCGGCACCTTACCCAGGCATTGCAAGTCGTTGTCACTCGACACGTACTGCCTCGAAGCCAGAAAGTGGCAAGCATCTTCATGGTTTCCCTAGATGACCGAAGCCATTCGAGGTTTACTTCACAACAGGCTGGATACATTGTGAGAAAGAAGGCGGGGACGAATTGACCTTTGAACTGGATGGAAAATTTTGTACGAGTATTCAAAGCAGGGGCTAATCAAGTCCTGATTCAGCCCAACCCAAGGGCCTCCATTCTTGCCAATACTAACTTTTCAGGGCCCGCTTCCGCTTCCTAGATGTCCACATAGAGTTGTATGTAGTGGAAAGTCTCACATTGGGCCTCAAATTTCTTTGTTTTGAAAATATGCTTGCTTATATGGTAGAAAATGAAGACCCTTTGTGACTATAATTTATGACAATCCTTCTTCATGAATAGCTTTTGCTATTAATACCAACACCTGCTGGCCTGTTTATCAAAGTACAACCAGCATGTCGGAAAAGACTTCTCATTGAAGCTCGCCATTTCAGTTGCAAGTTTGAATTTTTTCTGTCTCCGTTATTTGTAATGCTTATGTGCAAGGAATACTAGTCACTGAGTCTCTTGGATATTGGGGGATGCAAGAGACGTGCTTCAACGCACAAGATTGCCCGTCAGATGCGACAAAATAACTCATTCGTCACATACCAGTCAGTGTTACTGGGAAGCCTGAGGCGAAGTATAAGATCAAGAATAATCTGAACAATATATGAGTTCAAGTTCATTGTATCATCATCTACGGAAGTTGAGAGCTCATTTGTAATTTAGGTATATCATTCCGAATCACAATGATATTAATAAGTAGAAGTAGAAAGAACTTACCGACAACAATAATTATAAGTCTTCACACGTGTCCTTAGTCCCTGTCAACTATCATCAATGTACTAACTTTTAAGACATGAGCTAGAAACATAGGAATCTCATCTTGTGGAATATAACTCCATGTGGCTGGAGTTATGTTCCACAAGTAAAGAGTTATAATGAAAGTCATCTATTATTGGATGTAGATTGGACTTATATAAGATACTAGACCGGAGAGTAGCCAAATATAAGGGACACACGAGTTGGGAATAAAAGGTCAAACTATACTGAGTAATCCGAATTTTAGAATCATCTGTTCTAGTAGATTGCTTACCTTTGCAGGTAAGTGATCTCAAAATATTGAAAGTTTCTGTCGTTCCATCGCTTATGAGATTAGCAAACTATACTTCAGTTGACAAAAAATTTCACGAGAAGAGATGTATGCGAAAAAATTCGGTCGAGCCGATTTTACCTTCTTTCTTTAGCAGCACACCAACTTGTAGATTGAAATTCCCAACACGGCATTCCTGGGTTATTAGCTCAAGTTAAACTTCACTTTCTTAAATTGAAAACATTTGTCATCGCCCAATGGAACAGGTCCTCCATACAAGAAATACTTTTCAAATTTGAACTGAAGTAGGATCATAACAATGATGTTGGATCGATTGTGGACTGTTTGGTGCATGCAAAACTTGAAGCTGATAGAACAGAAACTCCTCTTGACTCTTCTGTTCCAATAGTGCACTTACTTGTGCAGAAATTGAGGCTTAGTACGAGGGACCAGTCGGTAAGCAGTCATTGTAGAATTTATCATATATTTGCTGCCGGAGTGATAACTATTTTTATTTTTTTACAATTTACCTGTGGGGACCTGGTTCTCTCGGTAGCAAAATTGCCTGACTCGGACCAGGGTGTGTATTCAGATTTTATGCAGAGCACACTTTAAGGCTAGACCTCTGATGGGTACTGAACGCTAGCATGCAAACAGAGTGACAGAATGTTACAAATTCTGATCATCTACTATGTAAATTCTCAAAGTTACATAATTCTTGAAACTTTTTCTGATTCTTTGTAGGTGTAATTAAAAGTAGTATATGATGCAGAAAATTCTTATCACCTGGCTATGGTGAAATGAAGACGCTAAGAAATATAAGGCACACCGGATTCGTGTGGGGTAGGAAGACCCCATGGAACCCTCCCAGAACTATAGAGCTTAATCTGCTTCCAGGAGTAATCTCTTATACTGAATTCATCTCCTGCATTGCCCTGGTTGGAAGCAGTAAATGAATCCCAAGAGTACCTCAAAAAAACTCCAAGTATCATAACCAAGGCTTCAACATTCAAGTTTTCCTAGCCGAGAAATAAAGATGTGTGGAGGTACAATCTATAAAGATGAAAAATGATCCAAAGTCTATCATCTGTAGGGCAGTTGGTGTCAAGGAATGTAGTGCAATAAGAGCCTGTTTTCTACTTTCCTACTCTACTCATGTTCTACTACAACAAATGTCAAAGCTGAACACATCACTTTACATGTGTGAAGAAAAGCAACCATGATTACTCCTCTTGCAAATTTTTCTAATTGTATCTCAAAATTTCTAAAGCCACTTTGTAGACCTAACTCTGATCCTAACGATCACCTTTGGAAATTAGAAATTGACTTCTTATTGTAAAAGTATACGTTATGATGGCAATAAGATAACAAAATTATAAAAAGGAAAATTTGACAGTTTAAGAGAAAAACTGTCTAAACACAATCATCACCTTTTCAAATAATTTTTTTATTTATTAATCTAGCTTGTTATTAGAATGAATTAGTACCCAATCAACGTGTTCAAGCGTAGGGATTTCCACAGAGTTAAACTCATTCTTATTCTAAAATGGGCGTCACATGGGCAATTGATGCTGTTTTGGCATGTTTTGGAAAGAATGTGCGAGAGTACATGAAATAAGAACACATATAATTATTTATGTATAAAATTCTTTAGCATATTTAGGTTAATTTTTTATATTTGTCCACAGATGACCCTACTATTCTGAGATTTAAGAGATCAATCATGTATATTGACGTGACATCATCATTTTTTATGTTTTGTAGATTCTTTACTTTACATATTTCTAAATTCTATATGTATATGATGTAAATGTCACTATGATACTATGGAGACTAGCCTCTATTTGATCTTTGGGTTTCATATTCGCTTGATTTTATAGAGTACTTCTAAACTATTAATGATATACTTGGAAACTTTTATTCATGAGATCACAAGCAATGTAACTTTGAACTAGACAGGAGTTTTGTATAATATGAGTCATGTGAACATAGATATACGCAAAATGTATGGTCGTATCCAAATGTGTAAGAAGTTACTCTATGTTTCGATTGACTTTTGTTGGTTTGTTAACCTTGTATAATTAAGTTAGTCTTTCATTATATAAAAGAGCTCACCAATACTCTCATATGACACTAACTAGGGTTTTTCTATAAGTAAAGCATGGAGTATTATCATAGACGTACTCGTAAACCAT